TCGTCTGGTCGTGTCTCACTACGTTCACCACTCCCATCCTCCGAGTGACGGAACGGAGTGAACGGAGAGAACGGAGTGACAGGAGCGAGGTGGATGGGACACAAGGCGAGTGGAACGACAAGACACGACCAGAGAACCAGGTGAACCGATGCCAACAGAATACCGGACTTTCCGTGGCTCGTCATGTTCACCCTCACTCCACTCCGTCCTTCGGCCCGAAGGGCCTTTTTTGGGGCCCGGAGTCCAATGGATATGCTTTTTTGGGGGCCGGAGTTCAATGGATATGCTTTTTTGGGGCCCGGAGTCCAATGGATATGCTTTTTTGGGATACCAGAAAACCAAGGGATTTGCCACTGGATATGCTTTTTTGGGGCCCGGAGTCCAATGGATATGTTTTTTTGGGGCCCCGAGTTCAATCAATATGCTTTTTTTGGGGCCCGGAGTCCAATGGATATGCTTTTTTGGGATACCAGAAAACCAAGGGATTTGCCACTGGATATGCTTTTTTGGGGCCCGGAGTCCCATGGATATGCTTTTTTGGGGCCCGGAGTCCACTGGATATGCTTTTTTGTGATACCAGAAAACCAAGGGATTTGCCACTGGATATGCTTTTTTGGGGCCCGGAGTCCAATTTTCTGTATCTATCTGTACCAAGCTACAACCTGTAAGTCAGTGAAGTGATTTGAAAAACATGAATTGGCCTATGTTGTGAGATTGGGGTCTTTGCGTCCTTGCTGCTTTGAGAAAAACAAGTTTCTGGATATGCTGTGAGCAGCTGGCTGGGATTTGGTATTTTCATAGGGAACTGATGTGACAGCTTACATGTGACCGCCTTCCACTTGAGGTTTAGCCCCCAAGTCCTGGGATACCACCTTGAATGTAGTGAAATCTCCCATTTCCCACTCCCTGCTGCTAAACTTTTCTGGAGCTCCCCAGTCCCATTTTGGGTACCCGACATGAGCTGTGTGGGCACATCCCATGACAATTTTGGGGCCCCCCATAAGTGGATAGGGGTCACATGCCCCAAACACTGTTATCTACGAGGTTTCAGGCATCTGACCCCTTTCCACTCCAAGACTTGAATTGCTCTTGTGGCATCTTGTGGCGACCCTTGGTCTCAATTTCTGTGGGTTGCTCTCTTTAGGATAAGAGATTCGAGATTTGGGAAGACCATGGGAGACCCAAAACATAAGCTTAAACAAAAATCCAGATTCATGTGATGGCAATGATCGATTTTCAAGGGATTTCACTGCAAAAACCAAGGCCCACAGAGGCTGAGAATGGTTAAGAGTTGTTTAGAGTGACTTAGAGTGATTTAGAGTGACTTAGAGTGATTTAGAGTGACTTAGAGTGATTTAGAGTGATTTAGAGAGATTTAGAGAGGGTATACATGTCAGGACACATATGCCAAATGGATAGGGGTCAGATCTCTTGGGTCACATCCGCCTCCTATGATATTTGCTTTGTTCAGTTAGGCAGGATATGCACTATGCTTTTTCCAAGTACGGTGGAAATCCATGTGACCATGCTTTTAACTTCATTTTACCCTCCATCAGTGTCTGGCTCAGACAGCCTCATAAATCCTCCGCTGTCACTTGAAATCCCGCCCATTGGATCAGCGACATATCCACTGGGGAAATGGCGGGACGCAGTTTTGGCTGGCAAACCTTGCAACACGACGGACGACGAAAGAACATCAACGTGCAGAATTCATTACCCCCCATCTCAACCCAAGTGTTTGTCTATGGGACCTCCGGGAACCCAAAAGAAAAGCAAAAGAGGCGTGAACCGTTGAGATCGTTGAGACAGGCTACCTTTCAGAAGGGCATATAGCATGTTTGATGCCTATCTGCAAGGTTTGTTTTATTTTTTGGGGGGTGGCCGTTGAGACAGAAGCATCAGTTTGGGAAAACACTTTGTCCTGGGAAAATCCTTGGAATGTGGAATGTGGAATGTTTGTCAGAGAGTATTTCTGACCAAATCCCCTTTGTCGAAACCAATCAAACACGAGCCTCGGTCCATTGCCAAAAGGTCTTGTTCTTCTGAAGGCGCTAAGGAAAGTCTTACGCGGCAGCTTACGCGCTGCTTACACATTGTGATTTCCGAGGACTTGTGCGTTTGGCATGTTCTAGGAATTCGCAATCATTTTTAGAAATGTGGTACGAATTGCAAAGGCAAAAAAAATGCTACGAACAGGGCTACAGGATAAGTACCGTTCAATCCTGTGCTGCTTGAAATGCTCGCCAGTCTCCCAGAATGTAGTTAACTGTTTTCAACTATATTCGGCATTGGGAGCCTGGCAGAAAAAAACGGCAAAACTCTACATTGGATCTGCATGCTCCGAGACATTCGAGACCCATTAGGTGAACCACTTTCAATGTTCAAGGCGTTTCGTTTCTCTGGGCCCTTGCCCGAGCATCTCAGAGATGGACGGGCGATCTTATGACGCGAAGTCTTGGACCAAGTGTGCCTCGAGTGGCTGCCCCTAGTTCCAGCGCCGCACAGAATACAGCGAGCGCAGTGAGTTTTGTCGAACTGGCTTTAACGATGCCGGATTTTCAATGCTTTTCATGGACTGGCTTGCCGGCGACCTCTAGATCCAATTTCACTTGAGATGATGGCAGGCCACTGGAAACGTGGTAGCTCAGAGTCAAGCTTTCCGCCGTCGTTCGCTTGTAAAGGTGGTTGCTCAAACATGCAGCTGCTACCGGGGCAGTTGTCGTAATGACATGTTGTCTTTTTTGCCAACCAGATTTGAGACCCACTGGGCCCACTTTCGATGTTCAATTTGGACATATTCCTCGGGTCGAGGCCAGAAATTTATGCTGAAGCAAAGTCTTGGACCAAGAGATCACACTGGGATGTTAAGCGATCAGCTGCGATCTGATCTGAGTTCGTCTGCTCTATTGCACCGCAGGGCGCAGATTCACAGGAAGCTGCAGTTTGCGCTCTGCTACTCCGATGCCAGCTGCATCGTGGTTTGCGTCAAAGTTGCGCCTCAACACTTAATCGTTGGTTGGCAGGTCCCACCTTTCCATACTGTGACCCTGCTGTCACACTTCAAAGATCTCCAAATCTTCATTGGAACAATCATATATCATGTTTTTTAAAGCAAATATGAAGCTGCAAGTTCGACTGTAACGAGCTGCTGAGATTTTTTTGACACATGTTCACTATGTGTTTGAAGCCAGTGTCTTCATAAAAGCGTTGATCCATTCCATCCGCATTAAGCTCGACGCCGTTGAAAGTCACGTCTGGTGCAGGGCGCCGGGAAGGAGAAACCTGCCGCGGGGCTTCGCCGAATCCGACGATCGGCAATGTTCTGAACGAGGGGACCAGGTTGAAACGGGGGACCTTTATCCTCTGAGACGTTTAGCATCTTTTAGCACTCAAATCTAACTGGCTCGGAAATTTGATATGGGTGTCATCTGCAACTGTTTAAGATTGTTTAAGTATCCCCAGCTTCGATAACCACAGAGTATTGAGATTATTGATGTTACATCACTATGCTTTGGTGATAATCAGAGACATGTGTGGCAAGTTTTGGACGGTTGGCAGGCTCAGGTTCTGATTGCATAAAACACCGCCACTCCAACGAGAGATACTGTAGATTCACAAGCTACTAACTTGGAATAAAATACATAATAGTAGTACCCTCTGGTGAACTAACATAACAATGGAAAATAACCATTGTTAATGGGAAAATCCACTATAAATAGCCATTTTCAATAGCTATGTAAACGTTCACCAGAGGGTAACCGACGTTTCTATATGCTTCTGTCTTTGTGGAGTTTGGTTTCTTCTTGGATCCAGTGAGGATCTGGCCATTTTTAGGTGTCCTAAAATTATACCCCAGATCATTGGTTTTTGCCATTGGGAATCACCCAACAAAAATGGCATGATTTTGGGGTACCCCCAGGAAACCTCCATCGCTAGTGTTTCACTTTCCAAAACCAACAACCCTATCCTGCCATCTTCCGAGAAACCGCACCTTTCGCACTTGGACATGCGGAATCATAGCAGCTGAGAGCGATCGGTTGGTTTTTTTCAAAGGGACAATTTCAGGGAGCATGTGCTTTTGCATAACGTTCTATGACACTGAAAAGATACTCGAAACAATGCTATTCTGTTGCTTGGCCATGAGGTGATCGACGTTCGGGCCCATCGTGCGGCAAAGCCAAAAAAACACATATCAACGTTGGTTCATGTTGGCTCGACCACATATCCCATCACATCAAATTTTGGTGGAAATGGATGGAAATGGGGTAAACCCAATGCCACAAATCTCCAATTGTTGATGGTTTATGCCTATGCATTTCTGGTAAGCTGGGAAGTCAATGGGGATCGTTTTTGGCACTTGATTTACCACGTTCCACCCACATTTTGATCTCATGAGACAATTGCTTGTCATCCCTGCAACATCCAATTTTGACGACTTGGTGCCATGTCGCCACGCACCACGCAAGGTGTAAAATAACTGGCCCAGGAATAGAACTACTGTATAGAATATCTCATGTGAAAAAAATGAAAATCGGTAGAATAATGCAGGAAAATGATGCTTTAAAAGCTTTAGCAATGGTTTTGGGGTTTCAATTTTTTTCAAAATCTTGAGACAACTCATGACAACTCCACATACCAGTGATCTTCAAACCGGACTGACACCCCAAAATCACAACTCGCATGTCGTAGTTTTCTGCGTTTTGCAGAGCGCATCGCCGCATCGCTGCTCGAAACGCCGGGCTGCCCCCCACGCGCCCTGGCGCCCCACCGCTAGCCCAGTGAGCTCGCGAATTGTTTGGCCAAGTTTCTGAGCTGATTTAGAAGATTTTATGATGAAAGTTTGCCACCACAAAAACATCAAGAAGCATGAATATCAAAATACATATCGAATATGTATGAATATGATTGAATATGTATGAATACGTATGTTGATATTTGTTCTGTGGAAGTTTTTATTTTTCTGAAGACCATGGTCTGAGTTTTGATCTTTCACAGTTCTTTCACTTTACCCAGAGACGGGGAATAGCTCGCTGCCGGTTCTCCTGGCACCAGCTGGAGCATCTGCGACGTTGACAGACCCTTAAAGGTACATCCAATTGCAGTTGAAAGATCAAGACCCAAATCCAACAGTTTGCTGGTTGGGATTGGTTAGGCAATTTTGAGAGATGACATGAGATTACAGATATCAAGCCCATATTGAGGCTATTATCAAGCTACTCCGCAAAGGCCCAGTAGTGCACAGTAGGTACCCATAACCCCGACACCAACTTTCCAGTCCTGATCCTCTTGTCGGATGACTTCTACAGCGGAGCGGATTTCAGCATGGATCACCTCCCGGATGACTTTCACACGGCCACCCGTCGCGAAAAGGTGACATGATGCAAGGTGACAATAGCATAGCTGGTAAAGAGCTGACCGGATTTTGACGAGATCTAAATTGATAGGAATGCATAGGATAGAAATATGGTAGAAGTGTGGTATAGGTTGGGGATTTCATTAAAAACCAGGGACCAGCCTCCATGTCGCGTGCGCCGTTCACATCTTTCCAATGCACGTTCGCCCTCAGGCGAGGATCTTTGAATTGGGCGCGCACTTTGGCCTGAGAGTCGGTGAACTCAACATTAGATGAGAATTGCAACAAAACTAACGGAGATCCGAGATCATCAATGATCATCATCTCCACAAAATGGATGTTTCACTCAAAAAGTGCCATGGTTTTTACATGTACGTTTTACCGATTTGAGGGTCACTGTCAAGCTATGAGGCAATCGCTATGAAAAAAACGTATTGGCTTTCAACGCCCTGCGCGCCTGCATCTCCGCGTTCTCGTATCGCTCATCCCCGAAATTGGAGCGAGCAGCACCGACCTACCGGGCCCCATCGAAATGGCCATGGGAAAATCATCAGGGCCATCTGAGATCATCTGAGATCATCATTGCATCACTAACGATACCCTCTGGTTATGTCAACAGTTTGCTATTGAAGCCATGGCCATAGAAATAGTGGATGACTACCCATTAAAAATGGTGATTTTCAATAGCTATTTTGACATAACCAGAGGGTAAATGACATGAAAGTCACCTACCAGATTCGCAGCTGATTAGCACTACCGCACTGCCTTTTCATCGATGTGTAGGAAGAAGATGCCATCCGGACAGGGAAGTCCCCGATCTGGCGCTTGACACCACGAAAAGTCCAGGCCTGCGCCACGTTGATTCATGGCGAAAACATGGAGAAAACACCGAAAACGTGGCGTCCAAATACAATTCCTGTACAATTTGTTTAAAAAAATATCTAAATCATATTATGACAAAATGGAAAAAAAACTGCGGAGAATCACACTTCAAAAACACTGAACATCCTTCATCCAGTGTGCTTCACAACACCGAGAACTCTTCGGTTTCACCTTTCGCTGCCGAGTAGGCCACCCCGGAGAAAGCATAGCGGTCGCAAATGATGGTGGTCCCCGCCCGCAGGTCCTGGGATGAGAATCACCGCCGGGGGATTGATATGGTTTGATTGATGTTGAACTGGAGATGAAATCAGTTGATTTCATGAATGCATATGAATATACTATAGATAGTTATAGTTCAAGCTAACTACATCTAGATCATCTAACTAAGTCTAGACTGAAATGTATCATCTCGATGTTTGTAAGCTGACTTGATATGACATGCGTTAGCGGCACCTCCACAATCGACTTCGCCATCTCCCAGCGATTTGCCTCGAGTTGGGGACTGATGGGTTTGGGAAGTTTGCCATGGCTCACGGTGCGCCTCGGGGATTGCAAACCCAAGTATCGAAAACCAAAAGAACGGATTATATGGGTTTGTCTGAAAATAGTGTACCCCTAAACCCAATGGTTTTGCTGATCATTATCCCTATTAAATGGCTATTTCATTGGGAATATACCCTATTTTCAGACAAACCCATATGATCGATGATATTTTTTTCGATCGAGCGTCTGGACTCCCGACGGAGCAAATTGTAAAAACTGGTTGACTGTACAAACCGACACAAAAAACCCTTCCAATAAGAGGAGAGCTTCAAATAAATGAGAAAAATATAGAAAAATAGGTTAAAAATCGATTAAAATGAAATTAAAAATGCCGTCCACACCTGCACTTATGAAATTACCACGAGAGTACCTTGAGAGGCCAGTGGCCTGTGACCTGCCCCAATTAGAAAGGGCCAATCCGTTGTGTAGCCCATTGTTTGACTCGGTTCATGTGTTCAAGATTTGAAGGGTCAAAAAACTGATCATGGCCATACATGTGTTGGAAGGCGTCTTTATAAGTTTCAGTGAGCCAATCTAGTCTGGGTCTACCTGGTCGCCTTTTGTCAATCGAGCGGGGACGAAGTCCGTCTGCTGCAAACGTGACTTGGTTCAAAGGGTCAGCTCTGCTACTTCTAAGCATGTGCCCAAGAAGTTTCAATTTCTTTTTTCTCCAAGTGTCTCCGAAATGCTCAAAATGGCATCCATGGTCCTGTCTGATTTCATCATACATCTTCAGGTTGGTCTGTTCCCGGTCTATGAAAGTAGGAGGTTTCTTGAGAATACGTCGTAATGTTTTGTTTTGAAAAGCATTCAGCTTAGAGATTTCATTTTGGGTCAGCTGTATACATTCTAAGCCATATAGCAGTTTAGATCTTATGATAGCCGTAAACACTTGGATCTTCCATTTGATTGACGTGTTGGCTTTATCCCAAAATAGTTTTAATCGCCGGCTTGTAGCAATGCAGTCCCCTATTCTATTGAGAATCTCTGCTCTATTATCTGTCAGAAGGGTCCCTAGATACACTGCTGATTTCCTCCTTGGGACAAATGCCCCCCCTGCCGGTCCTTCTTGTGCAAAACGCACAGAGCTTTGTCGCTGGTTGGCGGTTAGATTGACACATTTATCATAATTAAGATTAACGCCAAAATATTTAGAGTGGCGCTCGATGGCATGTAAGAAAGTGTTTATGCACTGTGTGTTGGCCCCGAAAATCAGAGTATCGTCAGCATATAAAATTTTACTGAAGTAGACACCATCTAGCGGTTCAAGTTGCCTGGGCGTACAGAGTTCTTCCATTACATCCGCAAAAAGGGCTCGCATAACCAATAGTAAATAAGGAGAAAGTGGGCAACCTTGTCGAATTCCTGAGGACTGCGATCTCCACGTTGATTCTAAATCTCCCATGCAGACTTTGAATTGGGGATCATTGTAGAAACTTTTGATCAGATTGCATAGTTTTTGGGGTACCTTCAGGCGATATAAAGTTTCGATTAGTTTACCTTGGGATACTCGGTCAAATGCCTTTTCCCAGTCTAATAAAACAAGTGTGCATCTGGCATTTGATTTTTCTGCGATGTCTTGGAGACGCCTGGCCAGGAAGATGGCCTGGGCTGTGCTTCTGTGTTTCCTAAAGCCATATTGTGTGGAACAGATCCACGTATCAAACCCGGAATCTAACCGTTCCTTGACCAAGGCCGCCATGATTTTATAACAGCTGTTTAGCAGAGAGATGGGTCTGTAATTAGCTAGAGACGATGCATCACCCTTTTTGTAAATACTAACAACGACAGCGTTCATATGGTGCTGCTTCACCTCCTCTTGTCTAAGACAAGTGTTGGCTACTTGAAGGAATAGGTTCCGATTATTTTCGTCAAGCCATTTAAAAAGCTCCCCTGGAACACCGTCTACGCCTGGTGTTTTGTTATTTTTAATCTTTTTTAGTACATCATTCAACTCATCTATCGTGAAAGGATCGTCAGACACGATGTATCTGCCATCCTGCAAAGGACGATCAATCCTTGGAGGTGCAACTGGATTTTCTGCTGAAGGGCATTTCCATTGAGTTGTAGCCAAGTAGTCTGCAGCTTTCTGCGGATAGTCATTGTACGGAACATGATTGCCTGCGGAATCTTTGAACTTGGTAAAATTTGGAGTGAATTTGGCTCTCACCTGTTTCAGTCCATCCCATTTATAACCATCTTGATTAATCGCTTCTAATTCATTCAGTAGGTGTTGTTCTTTGTCAATTCGAACTCTCTTGGTTATATCCTTGCTCAGCGTTTCCGCCAAGGCCGCATCTTGGTTTGATATGGCTTCCCATCGTTTTTCTAAAAGGTCCCATCGTTTCTTTCGAAATGTACTCCTTTCTCTGCTCTGGATCAAGAATCTTGGGAGCGTGGCCAGAAGAACTTTCTTTCGAAGAACTGAATTCAGCAAATCAAAACTGTCAGTATTACAAGGTGGGGCCCCCCAGTTATAAATTAATATTGGTTTATAAACCCCATTAACTATAGCTATAAGTACCATAAACCATAGTTATTGGAGTTATAAACCAACTTAGCTATCTTGGGGGCACCACCTTGTATCACATGATTGAATATCATCGGCTTTTTGGGCCACACTTAAGCGTTATTAAATTGGCGAATTCATCTCCCGAAGGTTTATGAAATGAAAAATCCGCGAAGTAGTTTCGACACGGCCTTTCTTTTTCAGCTTTAGATGGACGTTGGCAATCAACATCTTATGATCCGTGTCAATGTCATGTACCTCTGTGGCGAAAATATTTGTGATTCCATTTTTCCATGGATCATTAATGAGAATATAGTCCATTTGGCTATATTGATGTGGATGCCATGGAGGGCTCCAATCTTTAATCCCTACGCTTCTGTATGTAACAAGTTCAGCTTCGGGTTTGCAGAAGAATGTGTTTTTCACCACAAAATTATTTTCCAGACAAAACGCTACAAATTTGAAACGGTTTTCCAACTGGGCATCACTAAGAAAATCAAGATCCCGTCGCTCGATCCCAAAAGTAAAAGGTCCTATGCAAGTCTCGTGCAGAAGGGCTTTAATCAATCGTGCGTTCAAGTCACCAAGAACTAATTTGGGAGTGTAGGCATAATTTATTGACACCAGTGATTCCAATTCAGCATAATGCGCTACTGCTGCTTGTGAGTCTCGGTGGCACGCCTGAGGTGCATAAGTTGACAAGATGTCCAAAACACCACATCTAGTTTTCAGAGTTACCATAATATTTCTAGCACTGTGCTGTCGAACATCTAAAACATATTTTCTGATACGTGGATGTAGAACAACGCCAACCCCAAGATGCTCAATAGCATTTCTGATGATATGTCCATGTTCGGGGTTGTCCCTTGACCCCTTTCCCGAGCGTTTAAGGTCTATCGCTTTGTTGCGGTCCTCGTCCTTGATTCCGCTAGACCATTAAAAGCTATAACCGTCATGCAGTTCCATGGAGTTAACATTAATTTTTGTTTCTTGCAGGCAAAGAATGTCTAAGTGATATTTCTTCATGGTGTGGACAAGTCTTTCCCGGCTAGAAATGGATGCAAGACCTCTACAGTTAAGACTAGCAATCTTATATTCGGTGATCCCATGGTCTTTGAAACTTTTGTCCTGGTAGTCTGAGAATCCTAACGAAAACTCTTCATGTGTAATAGTATGCGTGTGGGAATCAAAAGGATTCGGTTTGAACCAATCAAGAAACTCAAGATTGTCCGTTGGATCTTGGGCCTTGAACAGTGGCACCTGCCTGGCCAAAGCAAGGGCCTGTGTCTTTAAACGACGATAGGTCCGTCTATGCATGTTTCTGTTTCTAGCTCTATTAACTTGACGTCTAAGTAAAGCAATATTAGAACGACATCTCCGTTTGGGGCCTATCTTAGTGGAATCAATTGATTGTAGTTTTGGTTTCAACAGTTGGTTACCGCCGTCTGTTCGTTGAGAAAGTCCAGTGCGGCTTTCCCGCATTGCCATGGGGGGGCCTGTGTGCGCTGCATTTGATTGGAAATTCGTCTCTAGAGATTGTGACAAAGCTTGATTATGAAGTGATAAATGGTTGTATGTGAGTTTGACAATCCTATGTTCGTTTTGTTGTTGGCTGCCTTTCTTCCGTTGCGAAGACTGAGAGTACCCAGAGATTACCTCGAGAGACCCGTAGGTCTTGTGGCAACAGCCACTGTCACGTCTGAACCTTAGTTTGCTGGCATTGTCATTTTTTGATGTGGTTTCTACCTGCGCTATATGATTATATGTTAGATTATATGATATTATATGTGCCCTCTGGCAATCTATGGCAATGGAAAATCCACCATTTATGGATGATTTTCCCATTACAGTAAACCTCCATTTTAGTCAGCAGGTTTTCCATTGCAACGTTTGATTGCCAGAAATTAAATCCTGCATAATCCATACCAGTAGTACCCGCACGAGGCGGGGCGGAAGTTGCCTTAAAAATATATATCAGACATTTCTCATCTATAGAACTTGCATGCGCCGTGCGCCAGCCAAGCCCGTGCGTGCGTGCAGTCTGCGAAAGTGGTGTCCTGCTTCACATGTCACATTTGAAGCTCCACTTCGCACTTCACACTTCACACTGCACTCTTCACATTTCACACTGCATTCTTCGCACTCCACACTTCACACTTCACACTGCACCCTTCGCAGTCAACACTTCACTTCACACTGTACTCTTAAGACTCCACACTTCACACTCCACACTTCACACTGCACTCTTCGCACTCCAAACTTCACACTCCACACTTCACACTTCACACTGCAAACTTCGCAGTCAACACTTCACTTCACACTGTCCTCTTAAGACTCCACACTTCACACTCCACACTTCACACTGCACTCTTCGCACTCCAAACTTCACTCTCCACACTTCACACTTCACACTGCAAACTTCACACTCCACACTTCACACTCCACACTTCTCACTTCTCACTGCTTCCTTCACACTCCAAACTTCACACTTCACACTCCACACTTCACACTTCACACTGCACTCTTCGCACTCCAAACTTCACACTTCACACTCCACACTTCACACTTCACACTCCACACTTCACACTTCAAAGTCCACACTTCACACTTCTCACTGCTTCCTTCACACTCCAAACTTCACACTTCACACTTCACACTTCACACTGTACTCTTCACGCCCCACACTTCACACTGCACTCTTCACACTCCACACTTCAGCTCATCTGAGCTCTTCTCACCTTATCCCAGCTGATCTCTTCTCATCTCATCTCTTCTCATATGTCATCTAAGCTTTCATGAATCACTTCCCAGTACTACTACTAATCACTGTCGCAACCTGGATGCAGCCCCTCCAGTACGATTCACGAGATCCAGCTGCAAAAGACAATAGTATTACGCATGCAGCCGCGGCAAGAAGCAACCTTGACGCAGCCATTACAATGCGATCTGCAAAGACTGAGTTGCAAAACACAATAATAGAACTACGCGCAACGGCGTCGGAAATTGCAGCTCCAAAACCGGATTTCGACGCCAAAGCGAAAAAAAGAGGATTTTGAAGCACTTTTTAAAAGGATTTTTACAAGGAAAATCATTAGCGCCAAAATGGAGAAAATCTGCTGACAAATCACTGTCGCTGTCGCAGCCTTCATGCAGCCACTCCAATACGATTTGCCATCTTCAGCTGCAAAAGACAATAGTATTACGCATGCAGCCACTGCACCATGCAACATTCATGCGGCCATTCCAATGCGATCTGCAACCAGAGCTTCAAGAAACGCATAGAACTACGCACACAAGAACAACCATTGTTACAGAACACAGAGGAAGAACCAATCGCGTCCGGAACGACCGCAGCCGCACCCGCCGCACACACGAGGTACCTTTCATCGTCGCCTGCAGCCACTTTACACGGAAAAACACAAGGTTTCGTGCTCCGGCTTCCTCCCCAAAACATAGCCCATGCAACATCATGCAGCCATTCCAATGGGATCTGCAACCACAGATTCAAGAAACGCATAGAACTACGCACACACAACCAACCCAAAGCAGCTTGAAGCACCGTTACACTGCGGAAAAAAAAAACGACCAACCGACCGCAGCCGCACCCGCCGCACAGACGAGGTACCTTTCATCGTCGCCTGCAGCCACTTTACACGGAAAAACACAAGGTTTCGTGCTCCGGCTTCCTCCCCACAACATAGCCCATGCAACATTCATGCAGCCATTCCAATGCGATCTGCAACCAGAGCTTCAAGAAACGCATAGAACTACGCACACAGGAACAACCATTGTTGCAGAACACAGAGGAGGAACCAATCGCGTCCGGAACGACCGCAGCCGCACCCGCCGCACACACGAGGTACCTTTCATCGTCGCCTGCAGCCACTTTACACGGAAAAACACAAGGTTTCGTGCTCCGGCTTCCTCCCCACAACATATATAGCCCATGCAACATTCATGCGGCCATTCCAATGCGATCTGCAACCAGAGCTTCAAGAAACGCATAGAACTACACACACAAGAACAACCATTGTTGCAGAACACAGAGGAGGAACCAATCGCGTCCGGAACGACCGCAGCCGCACCCGCCGCACACACGAGGTACCTTTCATCGTCGCCTGCAGCCACTTTACACGGAAAAACACAACGTTTCGTGCTCCGGCTTCCTCCCCACAACATAGCCCATGCAACATTCATGCAGCCATTCCATTGCGATCTGCAAGCACCAATTCAAGAAACGCATATGACTACGCACACAGCTTCAAGAACTACATCACCACTTCCCATCGTCCCCACCTCCCTTCCTCACCACTCCCCTTCATCACCACTTCCCTTCGTCACCGCTTCCCTTTCTCAACACTTCCCATCGTCCCCACCTCCCTTCGTCACCACTCCCCTTCATCACCACTTCCCTTCGTCACCACTTCCCTTCCTCACCACTTCCCTTCATCACCACCCTGTGTCATAGCTTCTTATTCTTTTGTTATGTATTGTTAGATTATGTATTGTTATATGATCTACCACCCTTCATCAAGGTCAATTTCATAGCTTCTTTTTCTTTTGTTATGTATTGTTAGATTATGTATTGTTATATGATCTACCACCCTTCATCAAGGTCAATTTCATAGCTTCTTCTTCTTTTGTTATGTATTGTTAGATTATGTATTGTTATATGACCTACCACCCTTCATCAAGGTCAATTTCATAGCTTCTTATTCTTTTGTTATGTATTGTTAGATTATGTATTGTTAGATCACGTACCACCCTTCATCATAGTCAATTTCACCAAGTAAAAGTCATTCGTAACTCGGAAGTATTGCTTCCCAACTTCCTTTGATGATTAACCATTGTTAACCCAACATCAGCCTTATTAATTATGATTCATAATTAATCGCAAGCTGCCCCCCCGCGTTGATAATTATTGCCCATATACATATTCATATATATATATGTATATATATATATGTATATATATATATGTATATATATATATATGGGGGTTGTCTATGGTACCCGAAAACTGCCCTTACGCCGCGCTTTCGCGAACCTTTCGCGCCCTTTCGCGCCCCAGCAGAATCGGGACATGGGATTATGATAGGGTTTTCGTTGATTTATAGGTTTATAAATAGTGGTATTCAGACCTTTCGCGAACCTTACGCCGCGCTTTCGCGGCCTTTCGCCACTGCAGCAAAACATGCACATCCTTATCTGCAGATGTCACTCGGATACTAAAAGCCTTGCATGGGTTTTAGGACGACTCCCATATATAACCCAAGATTAACATCATTAACATCATTAAACAAATACATCAATGGGTGACTAGCCATCATTACTCATAAGCCCTGTATATATCAATGGTTACGGTTAAAAATTATGACCCTTGATAATTAGATCTTGAATTGAATCTGCGTGTAAGTAGCTGGAGCCCTTAAGAGCCGGTTGCCCCGGTGCGTGGCCTCATGTCTGGTAGCTCTGCTCATAGCTATCCAGCTTGGGTGTGTGGGCAGAACTTTGTGAATCACAGAATCAAAATATATGGGTACCCATCATTAATCATAAGCCCTTGGTAATTACTCATAGCATTACCCTCTGGTAAACGTTTACATAACTATGGAAAATCACCATTGTTCATAGGAAAACTCACTATTTCCATGGCCATGTTCAATAGCTTTTTGTATGTTTACCAGAGGGTCATCATTACCCTGCCCCCGGGCAGAAACTGAGCATCACCGAGCTGCGCTGAAGAGTCGGTGCACCGCTTCATCCGGAAGTTCCAGCTGCCTGGGGTTTTTTTCGCGCGCGGCGCGATTTCGAGGCGTGAGACCTGGATGACTGGACTGTCCTGAAGCCAAACTTCAAAACTGATACTGAACTTTATTTGTTGATATATCAGTTTTGAAGATGAATGGAACTTTCAGATGAATGGAACTTCATCAAAATGAACTTTAGCAACTCTCGAATGGAACTTCAAAATGATAGAGATTTCATGTGATGACATGTCACATAATTTCAGACTTTAGCAGCTTTAGCAGATCTTGATCCCTTCCAACCCAGCACCCCAGCATCCCAGCATCCCACGTCCTCCGAAGGTAGAGGTCGATGGCCGTGCCGATGGGCGTCTTCCGGTTGGGGAAGCACATCCACTTCACCGATCGGCCCGCCTGAACGGTGCTGTCTATCGTTGATGATTTCCTGCAAACCCCGTGGATGCGTACTGGAATATGGTGTGTATTTCAATGGAATACTCCAACTTTCAGACTTTGCTGGTGAGGTAATGGACCCTTTGTGGGTTCTCCAGTGACCCACCAGCCTTGGACAAATACTCTTCCAACTTCTTACTCTGCGTGGATTTGCCGCTGCGATCCAGACCCTCGAAAACAAAGAAGAGACCACGCGTGGCGGAGGAGCCCCAGGTTGGCTTGTCCTCGCGTATCAGAACCCAGTCATGGAAAAAATATACAACCTGATCCCTCTAGAGTTATCGAACTTCGCGTAAAAAGCCGTTGGTACATCATCTACTTTCATGGGTCAAAAAAAAGGTTCCATGGCGATGTCAATTCCCTAATTCCACAAGTCCAACATGTGGCTTCAGGGTGCTGAGAAGAAACATTTTCCCAAAGGCTCGATGCTGAATTTGAGATATGTGTTCCCCAGTAGGTTCTTGTGTATCGCAATAATTTATCTAAATTATTCATGTCCAACTCTATTCCCGTGAATATTCCATTCATATCTCATTGTAGGTATCCAGACATATCCAGACGATATCTCACCAGTTGTATTACCACCTTCATGTAATATCCCACCTAAACCAGCACAAAACCTGCCCATGAATAGTCCATTCATATCCCACGATACCCAGTAATATCCCCATTTGAATCACCATGTTTATCCTCATATCCCTACCATATCCCCACTTAAATTACCAGTATGTATCCACCCATCCATGAATCATTTGCAGATGATCCAGGAACCATCAAACTATCAACAAAAAAAACATGAAATATCATATCTCCATGTTAATAATAATCAAAAAAACATGATATCCCTTTTTTCTCATCAACACCAGAAAAAAATAAAACCTGAGAAGGGGTGGAACGAAAGCCAGCGCTTGCTTTTTGACTCGTGCGGGGGCGCGTGAAACTCCACCTCATCCATATGGCATGGCTCAAACATGAAGCGCCCCAACATCAACAATTGCTATCGGGTCATAATTTTCCAATCATTAAATGGACCTTTTTAGGGTAAACTCCACGATTTTGTAACTTCTATGTCCAAATATGTTTCCTACAATGTACTGCGGCATTGTGAAAAGTTCTATCTCAAGTTCCGTAAATCCGCCTTTGGTTGCTCATTTATCTTAAAACAGCGCAAGTTTGCTCCCACCTATTGTAGATAAATAATACCCGCTTTTTTGTGTGAACAGTGGTCATGTGACCTCTCAAAGTCTAAATTGTTTTCTCCCCAGAATCGTGGTCCATGCTTCTCCGCGAAGTTCCGCAACATTTTGGCCGTACGGTGAGAAATCAAAACATAGCTCTACTCGCAAAATGGGCAGTGCAAACCCAAGACAATATTATAACATACGTAAGAAAGGGTATAAGAACGAATGAAAATCGAGGAAAACAATGCAAAACCCACGGGAAATATAGAACAGTGGCGAACATGCAGTCCAAATCAAAAGTATATATATTTAGGCCATTTACAGACCTGGGTACCCCCCCCCACCCCCCAAGGGTCTGGAAAATAAGGTATTTTACAGGAAATGTCGCGGAATAGCATCATCCCTGACATCGATAGAGATAATTGTTTGGCATCCCGGAAAATCTTCTCAGCTATCACACTCGCCAAACATCCCTTTTAAAAGGCACACATACTATCACGGACGTACAGATGCATATCATTCCCGTCATTGCCATTAGAAGATTCAAATTCTTTCTCGATGTTTTAGTACAAGATTCACTTTTAGTTCTGTTTCAGCCTTCTCAGTACGGCCTCTTACAATGATATTACAGCATTTGTCTCCTAACCTAGGTGGCTCCTGGGCGCAATCTTCATTCCAATGCTTTGTGACAATAACCAGAGGCCTGGAGCCTATGCATCACTTGACAGTCGACTCAGTTCTAAACCGGAAAGACTATTCCTTCCGTTTACCAGTAGATCGTTTTTGTAGTTCTTATCACAAAACTACCAGAATCAGGGAGGCACCAAAAAACGTCAAACAGCTTTAAGCATTATAAATACTCTAATCTGCAGATTGTATTTATTTTTCTTACTCTGTGAACGAAATCACACTTTTCTAACTTCACACAGATTACCATGAAACCAATTTTCCCATGCAACTCCTAAAATCTTACAACTCATACATCTTTTTTCCTATACCATCCGCATCTTGCTCCAAGGTTTCATGGCAATGTCTTGTACGCGAGTCAGCCACTATTTCCTATCACCAAACTACATTGCTCATCATCTAACATTATCTACAGAAACCAAATCGGATTTCCTGCTCAACGTTTCCGCTCGTTGACATTGTCTTGGTTTTCACTGTATTTTTAAAGCATTTTTAGTTATAACATTTTCCTAGGTTTTCACTGTATTTTTCTAACATGTTACATGCCTCCTAGCATGTTCACGCGTGTCCTCCATGTTGTACTGTTTTCTACATCGTTTCCTCTAGTTGTTACAAGCATTTCCTAGCTTGTACACCGTTTTCCTAATATTGTCACAACTTTTCTTCCAGTTTCCACTGCTTTTTCTACCGTTTCCTGTGGTTACTTTCTTCTCTTTTGTAGGTTTTCACTGTGTTTTGTCCAGCTTTTTTTATTACATGCTTCCTACCATTTTCACCGCTTTCCTCTATGGCTTTTTGTACCATTTCCTCTCGTTTCCTGCATTTCATGCATTTTCAATATATTTTTCCAAGAGTTTTACCCGTCTCCTTCAGTTTCCGATCGTTTTTGCACCATTTCCTCTGGTTGTTATCGCATTTTCCTGCACTTTCACTGTATTTTTCCAGCATGTTTACTGCATCGTCATAGTTTGTTCCTAGCAGTCGCTCCGGTTTCCTCCATGTTCCAACAGATTTTGCACCCTTTATTCTGGTTGTTATCACATTTTCCTGCCAGGTTGTTATCACATTTTCCTTCACTGTATCTTTCCAGCATTTTCCAGTGGATTTTGCACGATTTCCTCTGATTGTTATCATGTTTTCCTGCAGTTTCTATATCCTCTTCGTGGGTTTTCAGTCTATTCATGCATTTTTAATCTATTTTTCCAAGATTTTTACCCGTCTCCTTTTTGCACCATTTCCTCTGCTGCATTTTCAATGTATTTTTCCAAGAGTTTTACCCGTCTCCTTCATTTTCCGATCGTTTTTGCACCATTTCCTCTGGTTGTTATCGCATTTTCCTGCACTTTCACTGTCTTTTTCCAACATGTTTACTGCATCGTCATAGTTTGTTCCTAGCAGTCACTCCGGTTTCCTCCATGTTCCAACAGATTTTGCATGGTTTGTTCCTAGCATTTTCCTCTGATCGTTATCATGTTTTCCTCAAGTTTCATTGTATTTTCCAATACATCCTCTTCGTGGGTTTTCAATATGTTTTGTCCAGCATTTTTTTACTACATGTTTCCTATCATTTTCACCTCTTTCCTCCATAGGTTTTTGCACCATTTCCTCTGGTTTCCTGCATTTTCATACCTTTTCAATATTAATATTAATCCAAGAGTTTTACCTGTCTCCTTCATTTTCCGATCCTTTTTGCACCATTTCCTCTCGTTGTTATCACATTTTCCTGCACTTTCACTGTATTTTTCCAGCATGTTTACTGCATCGTCATGGTTTGCGCCTAGCATTCGCTCCGGTTTCCTCCATTTTCCAAGGGATTTTCCATGGTTTGTTCCTAGCATTCGCTCCGTTTTCGTCCGTTTTCCAGGGGATTTTGTACGATTTCCTCTGATCGTTATCATGTTTTCCTGCAGTTTCATTGTATTTTCCAATACATCCTCATGGTCTCTCCGGCCACCAAAAAGGCGGACCTAGGGGGAATCGATACCCCACCGTCAGCAAATTACCTAGTGGTACATAATCCAGCAAAATGCTCCGTTTTCTGGCGCTCAACACAGGGGCACGGCGAGATTTCGTTCCCTTTCGGCAACCACCCCCCCCCACACCCCCTATTCTCACTTCGTTCGCAAACAGCAACTAGCCAGCTAGCTGGCTTTCGCAATATCTCAAAAAAAAACTCTAGAATCCAACAAAAACTAGTTGCTTGTTGTGTTTGTTCATGTTTTTTTCCATGTGTTTCCCCTTTCGAAAAAACTGTCCTCCAAGGGCAAATCCAAAAGCTTAAGAGCTTCCTGGATGTTGCTCACCTGCACCTGGCAGGAACTCGCCACGAGTATCACCGGCCGGCTGGTGCCAGGTCACCCTGGTCACCCTGGTCACCCGAAACAATGGGACGCTGTGAAAGATCTCCCTAAATGAGATAGATGTTGGGATTGATGTTGGGATGGCTTGGAACTTAAATATACTTGAAACATCTTGAAACGTGGTTTTTACTTTGGATCATGGTGATTTTGGTGCTCTTCGAAAGGAGCTGTAAGTTGATATGTGAGAAATCAGTGAACACCCAGGATGGCTGGGAACTTCTGGATGATTGTTCTTGATCCAACGACGCCAACGACGCCAGTATTAACGTCTCCTATGTGTTTCCATCATTTCAGAGCTGGACGTCCTTGAAAATTCCTACCCTCATCAAACACGGCTGGAAAACCTCCCGTTTAGTTCGATGATTAAAACCCTACATTTTTCCATCTACAGGGGATCGCAGCTAGCCGTGTTCCCGTTGCGAAAAAAAAAAAAACGAACTCTGCCGAACTCATCTGGGTGGTGCCACCGGACTCAAGACTTGCTTGCTGTTGCGCAGTGCAGCGGTGACCTCATCACCGTGATCTTCGACAGTGATTTTGGATCGCGAAATAGGAAGAGTTCTATATTCTGGACAGTGGAAGGTTTTTTCATACACTATAACTCACTATCATGAATATTGGATAGAATTAATCAGAATCAAAGAAAAGAAACGGGATATATAGGGATATAGGGATATAGATTTATATAGTATGATTATGTCATATCTGTGTTACGCTACTATAAAATACCCGATGGCGGTGTCCAATAAACCGGGTATGAACTGAGCACATCTGAGCACCACGGCGCTCTGGATCAAGCCGGAACTCATTGGTTGACCTGGCACAATCCCATGGAAGATATCACACGGCGCAACCAGTTGGTAGATGGAAGAAATCCATAGAAATCCCACTATAATCAGTTATATATAAACCATTATCTATGCAACATGGTTTTTGTTGTTGCAGAAAGCTGTTGCAACTGGTGCAGGATTTCGGCCCTGCAGGATTGGCCTGATTTCAGCCACAGTATGATCCCATGTCATCCCTACTCCCCAGTCAGGTTTCTCTACCATTATATTATAGATTATTATAGTATCTCTGTATCATGACAAAGAATGATTAGAATGATTAGTCTTGGTATCTCCGTCACGTAAAGAATACTCAGTTGACTAAACTGAATCTTGGTGTTAAAAATCTATCGGTGCATTAGTTGTTAGTTCGGAACCCCATCAACTTCAAATGACGTGCATCCGCTCTGCCCTGGTGGGCAAAAAAAACTGCCCTGCCTGTCGGAATTTATCGTCGTTGCTGTTGAACAGTCTATGTTACATTGCTGAAAACACCACATTTTTTTCTGTTGATATCCACCTTTCTGCTTGGTTATCAAATCGCGTCAAATTAAGAGTATTCTTGGAAAATTATCAAAAAAATATCAAGTCCTTTCTGCTTGGTTATCAAATTATCAAATTCTTTCAGAAATCAAAAAAAATCACCCGGCTTTGATGACTTGGACCATCCATCATCAAACCAAATGGGCCATTCAAGGCCCTGGCGACTGGTCTGGAACTCAGACAGCAGCTGTTCCTGGCTGTACAGCTGCCCAAGGGAGTCATTGGTTGATATTGAAGATAGCCCATTGGTGTTACAAACCTGAAAATCAGTTCAACATTGGTACACCAATATCGGGGGCTTTCTTCGGACATGTACCAAAAAAAATATGTGGGATTTTGTATCAGTGTTTTCTGCAGAATTGCGATTCCCTTTAACAATAAGGGGTAGACCAATCTTTTCGGACCATTTGGTGGTGAAATCAATCTGTTTCTCTTGGTTGGATCCCCATGTTGGCTGCTTGGCAAATGAAAATCACCGGCACCCATAGGGACTATACCTGGGATACCTGAGGTTATACTTTCACAGAAGTACTTCCAAAAAATTGTCCAAGCACGTTGTTTTTGATTCTAGATGTTCGAGTTGGCCAAAAAAAAATATCGATTTTGGCGTCATCCCTGCCATCTCCTCGCTGGGAATGGGCGGCAGTTTCAGCTCCGGGACTAAGGAATCAGGCCTCAACTGGGAATCACCACCGCCACAAAGACCGGATTGAATGAGGGGTTGATGGGGCCAAGTATGCTGGTAAGATCTGATAAGTGCTTTCTGGCATCATAAATGTTACGTAACAGGATTGAAGCCCTGAAAAGGGACAGATTGAAATCTCCAAACAGGGAACATGATGTAAAGTTTGGTTTACTTTATCAACAACATGACACTGGACAAATGACAAGCAGAATGCAGAAATGGGGGCTGCAATCTACAAAAAAAAGACCTTTTAAGGAAGATGCAACTTGATGCAACCGACAAAATGAGGAAAACCAACAAAACAGGATTTCACAGAGACAAACACCATTAGCAGGGATGGCGATAGTGGTATGTACAAAGATTTTGTCTGAAAATTTGGTACTTTTTTTATCCAGTGGAGTAGACTTTTCCCCTTTTATCGATGAGTTTTCCCATGATAGAGCCAGATCAGGTCCAAATGATTGCAACTGGGGTGTAGCAATCCCGCTGACAGCGGATACAGCGGGCTGCCTTAGAGGAATGTCCTTGTCCAGGATGCTCGCCTGTCCACAGAAATCCGAAAACCTCGAAAAACTGGAACTATTTACAAGCTCAGCTTTTCGTCGTTGATGTTGAAACTAAATAGTTACAGCTGAGAATAGTTATATAATGAATGTTAATGATGAACTATTTGAACATTCATTTTTTCGGTCATGAACACTATCATTCAATAGTTCAATACCTCTCAACTCAATTCTTTCGAACTTTTCTTCAGTTTCAGCCGCTTGGAACATCCCGCTGCGCCTTGTTGCCCTCAACGAAGTCGTGCATCTCCTCGCACTGCTCTTGAAGCGCCTTGACCTCAGAGCATGGGCCAAGTTGGTATATATCTATATATAATTCTATATATGGGTAATTTTAACGATGATCGAAGGAAGTTTGAAGTCAAACTTCCGACAATATGGACAGGTGAAAAGCAGAGCAGGGAAGAGGCAGAGAGAAGAGAAAGATTAGAAGAAAGAAGAGTAGAAGAGAAAGAGTAAGAAGAAAGAAGATTGCAGATGCGCGAAAGGGTAGGAAAGTCGCGAAACACTGTGTTTTTCCAATGATCTGGGGCTTCGGAGGGTCGAAAAGTAGGCTTGCTAAAGCGGCGGGTGCGGAGCCAGCTGGCCAGATGAGAGATGAAAAATTGCACGCCGTTGTGGCGCGAAGCACATTTCGAAGTGAAAATGCACAAAACACACCAGGTCCGGACCACTTTTGGCAGTTGAGATGTTGAAAAAGTGCACGCCGTTGTGGCGCGAAGCACGTTTCCAAGTCAAAATGTACAAAACACACCAGCGTCGGACCACTTTTGGAAGTTGAGATGTCGAAAAAGTGTTGCGGCGTGAAGCACATTTCCAAGTCAAAATGCACAAAACACACCAGCTCCGGACCACTTTTGGCAGTTGAGATGTCGAAAAAATGAACGCCGTTGTGGCGCGAAGCACATTTCGAAGTCAAAATGTTAAAAAACACCAGGGGTTCGGACCACTTCTGGAGGTTCGGATGTCGAAAAAGTGCACGCCGTTGTGGCGCGAAGGACATTTCGAAGTAAAAATGTTCAAAACACTAGGGGTTCGGACCACTTTTGGAGGTTCAGATGTCGCTTCGCTTCAATACACTACACTACAGGACATTACACTACACTACACTCCAGTACACTACATTACACTACATTACACTCCAGTACACTCCACTACACTAAATTACACTACACCACACTACATTACACTGAATGACACTGCAACACAGATAGACAGGTAGACAGATAGACAGATGAAAGGGAGAGATAGATGGATAGGTAGGTAGATAGATAGATAGATAGATAGGTAATTAGATGAAAGAGAGAGAGAGAGAGGCCAGCTGGGTAGATGAGATAGATAGATAGATGGCTAGACAGATAGACAGACAGACAGACAGATAGATAGATAGATAGATAGACAGATAGATAGATAGATACATCGATAGATACATAGATCGATACATGGAGAGATAGATAGTACATAGAGAGATAGAGAGATAGATAGATAGATAGATAGATAGATAGATAGATAGATAGATAGATAGATAGATAGATAGATAGATAGATACATAGAGAGATAGAGAGATAGATAGATAGATAGATAGATAGACAGACAGACACATAGATAGATAGATAGACAGACAGATAGATAAATAGTCAGAGAGATAGCTAGAGAAATAGATGGCGAGATAGACAGATAGATACATAGACACATAGACAGATAGTTAGATACCAAGACAAATAGAGAAATAGATGGGTAGAGACATAGACAGATAGATAGACAGATAGATCAGTAGGTAGGTAGGTAGACAATCAGAGAAAGATAGAGAAACTTGAAACAGGGAGAAAAAGAGAGAAAGAGAGAGAAAGAGAGGAGACCTCAAGCACCTTTCAGTCCATCAGTGGCTTCGCTCTGCCATCCCTTCACAACAACCAACCTCTCCTATAGGTTTCCTATTTTTGAAACTTCCGCCACCGCCTTGTGCGGTACTACTGGTAATGATAATAGTACTGCTACTACTAATAATAATAATAATATGTATGAATATATAAATATATGAATATGATTCAAAACCATGCTCAGTTGTGGTGACTTCATCCAAGCAATTTCAAACACCAGGCTTCAAACATCTTCAAACAGGCTATGACTTTCCAGTCCCATGCAAAAAGTTGTTTTACCCACAACTGCCATATCATTGGGATGTCTCTATTTATTTCCGGACATCTTTTCCCTAACCCACCATGGCCAACGAAAAAAAACTGCAGCTGATGCAGGGGCTCCCGACAGCACCCTGGCGCAGCGCTTGCACGGCGCCCACAGCATCGCCTCCATTTGGGGTGTCCCATCGAAAAATTGGATGGGAGGATTGGAGGAATATATGGATGGGGTGATTTTCCTAAGTTGGTGATTTCCATGGGATTGGTCCATTGGTAGATTTAGATAGCCATCTATCATGGAACAAATTGATGTACCTTTATAGATGGAAGACAAAAATTCATGGATTTCACCCATGGCTGTTAAATCAGCCGCGGTGTTTACCAGAAGCGCTGGTAACATCACCCATCACCCATCCCGAGACTAAATATGTGTATATAGATATATATATATATATATATGTATATATATATATATCCCAGATCCCAAGCATCAACCATTCATCATCCATCATCCATCATCCATCACCCATCCCATCAGCAATCCCAACGGTCGGTCACCTTGGGTTTCCTGCGTCTTCTCGGCACAGGTGGCGATGCGCTGCGCTGATGCCTGGTTGACTCATGGAGTGATAAATCAACACATCATGGGAAAACATGATCAAAACATATCAAAACATCAAAACTCACGGAAACTCGCAAATTCGCAACTCATGGGATATAGATTTCATGGAGATTTCAACGGATCTTTGAAAAGAACTGCAAAATAGTAAATAGAAGCACCACTTCATCGCGGGATTCCACGGATCCAAGGACTACAGATGGCCAACCCTCAGGCTGCTTCCCCTCCGAAAGTCCCACGCCTGTTGGATCTGTTGGGAGGCCTGTTGTGCCTCTTGCAGAAGGACTTCTTCCTCCTGGGCCATGGTGGTTTTATCACTTTCACCAACAGCATATTATCGCCATTAAGAAAATCGACAGGATGTTTTTGTACAGTACACCATCACATGATCTTTCAGCAGTACAGTGCATCATCAAATTGCTGCAACCACCATGTGTGGCTAATCTGGTCAACCAATATCGTAGCTATGACAGTAGCCACTGGTTGGAGGATGAAAAAACACGGGTACATGAAAAAACATGAAAAAAAAAACAACAGGCACCTGATGGTATATGGCGTGCTTAACCCACCCTCCATTTTCTACTAGAGGACCTGGTTGGGTGAGACCAAATGAATAAAAATGAATAACCGTGCAATCTGATGAATTTCCCATTTTGGTGCTTGAAATTAAGTTGTTTGATATCAAAAAAAAGGAACCTGTTCATCGCAAATCCAAAGAAAGTGGACATGTTGTTTTGAACTCTATGACTGTGCCAAATTATATATTCTTGGATGGGTCTAACTCGCATCTCAAATATACAAGTGCGGATTATCTTGGAGGTATTTCTTGTGCATTGACTATCCACCGGCCAGCTCATACAACACGCGCATGGCGCACCTTGGCATGTTCCAGCAGTGCTTCCGTGACGGAATCCCAGCGTTTCTGCCTCAGCTGTGAATCGCTAGAGAAAAAATAGCTGGATGCAGCTGATACATGAGATAAAACCCAGCTCAACTTAAACTTCCAACCATCATGATTTGGGACTTCCAAAAATAAATAAAATTCAAAAAAATGCGCATACAATAGCTGGCAGCACCAAGAAAAAAAGCTAGGTTCACCTCAACCCGCCGTCACCCATGTCAGTCACTGGCAAATCAGAAACCATGATGGCTCCGAACATCGGTACCTCCATCCAAAAAGACCATCATGAAAAAACAGCAGGCCATAGCTATAGCTATAATGTCTATGGGTGTCCCCATCTTCAGAATTCACCAAAAACATTCAACATGTGAACCTGCTAGGACCTAGGATATATCCCATTCATATCTCATCACTATCAAGTTCCATGAAAAATCAGCTATGAAATCCCATGGATTTTCCATCGTTCAGGTCTGGGTTACGAATCCCCATAGACTCCTCATAGCAGGACCAGAAAACCCCACCGAGCAGCGCATGCTCCGCAGTCTGCGCCGCATGCCGGCGTTCCAGCTCCACCGCTTCCGTGCCCGATGCGGCGGCAGCCTGGGGACAGGAGCGTTCACCAACCAAAAATCGGGGTATCATACCATCGTTCTGGGGATTTCAGGGTGAATTTGCTGAAAATCATCCATAAACTATAGAAGAATATAGAAGATATGTACTGAAGTCTCAAGCAATGGAGACGTTGGTTTGACTTTGATGACCTTGTGATTTGAGCCCCCAAAAAAAATCCGTGGAGTTGAAGTTATAATTGCAAAAACATTGGATTGAACATGATTGAACGTTCAAACAATGAACATCTGACGGAGATTTTTGAACCATATCAAACTTTGGGATGCAAACAGCTAGCCTCAAGCGACAAAAATTGCGGTGAACATGTACACATTTTGGCCAGCTATGGTGATGTTGCCTCGAAAAATGGTGCTTTCAAACACTGCAAAGAGCAGGAAACCACACCCAGCCTGCCTCCACATTTCCAGCACCTTGATTTGCCTCTTCCTTCATCTCTTTCAAGACTTCCATCTGCATCTGTTCCAACTGATCCACCACTTCCAGTGCTTCCTTCAGCGATTCCTTGGAGACCTCGGTGAGTTCCACCACGGCCTCCTCCGCGGCCCTCAACGCCGCACGGCTGCGCTGCCCGGTATCGTCCAGGCGCTGCCGCTGCGACGCCACGCGCTGCCGCAGCCGCTGCGCCGCTGCGGCGAAGGCCGCCGCGGCGCCGTCTGCGCGCTGCGCGGCGCTGCTGGAGGCGGCCGTCGAAACCCGCTGCGCGGAGCACAGGGCGGCTTCGATGCTCTGCAACGTGGCGGTGGTTTGGGAGAGGTTCTCCAGAATTTCCTTGGTAGGTGCGAAAAATGTTGACATGTTTGCAAAATTGTGCAAAACTTCTGGGCAATGCCTTAGAAATCATCACCTTAAAAATGCCTTTCAATCATCTTCCCATTTTTTGGTGAACATAAAGCAACAAAACATCTCACCGAACTCACCCAGCATCCGTTTTGGCTTCGGTGCACGCTTGACCAACGGTTTCGTTGCGGACACCTCGATGCGTCTGGAGCTTCGAAGTCAGCGCTGTGAGATTCTCACATTGCTGCCCTTGGTCTTGCTGCAACTCGCCCAAGGTGGCACTTTGGATGGAAGTCATCCTTAGCCAAACAAAATCAACTGTGTCCAAGAGATTCCTGAATCAATCCCATGGAAACACCAAAAAAAAGTGGAACAGTATATAAATTACCACTATTTTCGGATTTATCCTATTTTTTGGGATGTTGCCGAAAAGGGTGAACAAATTCATAACCGGCCTATCTCGCGTCAAAGCTTGATTCTGAATCGCCTAAAGTCTGTTTCCGTGAAAGTCCACAATACCAACCACCCCATCTCAAAAAAATGTCCTTTAAAAAATTTAACCTAGTACTTGCTTGAAATCAAATTTACTCCCCTTGAAACCCATGAATACCACCAAAACATGCTTTCAATTGTTTTTTGTTTACCTCCTGTTAAATAACGTGCACAAAAAAATATAGTGATCTGGTGCCTACAAAAAATACATCCCCCTTGATTGAAGGGTAGGAACCCTTACCCCACCATTCCGTAAAAATATCATTATATATATATATCTATCATAATTATATGTATCTATCATATATCAGTGGATATATATATATATAATATATATATAATTATCTATATATCATTATCTATCCATTGATATCCCCATTTCTAGATGAGTTTTCCCATTGTAAACCCACCATATCCTCCAAGGATCTGTGAGATCTTCTCCTCGACCCGCGGATCTTCCAGCGGCTGCACCTTCTCCGGCAGCTGCTGCTGCAGCTGCTGACAGAATTCGCTGGCGCGCGACTGGGACGTCCTGCAGGGCGCGTTGAGATGTGAGATGGATTCTTTAGGATTTAGAGAATACCCTCTGGTAAACGTTTACATAGCTATGGAAAATCACCATTTTTAATGGGTAAATCCATGTAAATCCACTATTTCTATGGCCATGTTCAATAGCTATGTTAAATTACCAGAGGGTAGTTTTTTGTTGGGAATTCTATGGCATTTAATACACAGAGATGGTATTTCGTGCGAATGCAAACCATTCACGATGTTGAAATCAAAAGAATTTCTGGTGTGTGGAACAAAAACCATCAAAAACCACGGAATTCAAACCCTCCACTTTTGGCCCGTCCTGTGCTGATCCTTGGCGCTCTGCAAATGCTTCTCCAAGGACACGCGATGACGATCCATGGTGGCCAGGGAGTTCTGAAGACTCATTACCGCCTCCAATGTGGCAATGCCGCACACATCCCTAGTCGTGAAAAGGCTCTGGACGATGATCCAAAAAATCTTTCTTACCTCCATCATTCAACATCGTCTTCAAACCTAAGTCCAAGGTCTGAATGATTCAACTATCATCCGGTTTTTTTGCCATCAAGATCTTTAAGATACACACGAAGACTCGCATCATGTCCAGAGCTAAAGGACCTCGTGTCGCCCCGCAGCCAAGGAGGCGAATCGCTGCTTGGCAAAGGTCTGCTCCTGCTGTCAGCTGCAGCGGCTGACTGGAACTGTCGAAGTTGGTCAAATAGGTTACCAAAAAAAATATGTCGTTCAATGGTTAGAGGAAAAAACAACAACAACATGACCGCCATGCTCTCTTTTCAAAAAAAAATATTCAATATATTCTTATTTAAGTTCAGGTTGCAATATCAGTTATATCATGTACATCTAGAAACCCTTTGTAGAATACATCAAGAGCTTTCCCATCCCCCAGGGTGCCCCCAGGGCCCCCAGGGGGCCCCCAGGTCTCCTCGCAGCTCAGCTGCACCTTCCGCAGCTCGGAGATCGTCTGATCCAGCCGCACCTCGGCGCGATGCGCGCGCTCCGCCTCCTCCTGAAGGCTGCACCGTGCGGCTGGGCCGCAAAAGGTGGAGATTCTTGAAAAAGGTGGAGATGTTGCCATGAGGAAATGGGAGATATGTAAATTACGTAAAATAGGATATGATAATGAAATGAGATGCGAATTTTGAGATATGAAATGAGATGCGAATTTTGAGATATGAAATGAGATGCGAATTTTGAGATATCTAATATTATCTAATCATCATGATCCAAGCTTTTATCGGGCCTTTTTTTAATGTGCGAATGTCACCCATCCCAGCCGTGAAAAACTCCTGGGCTTCCTGGTACTTCCGGCCCAGTGCCACCTGTGTGGATCCAGATCCATCCCCACATCAAACTGGGCCGAAAGTTTGTACAAGCCCAGTTTGTAATGTAATGATGTAGGGATATTAATGTAGGAGTATTGTAATGTAATGTAATGTAATGTAATGATGTACAACCCCACTGAAAAAATATGATGTAATGATGTAGGAATATTTTTCGGATATTCGAATGTGTAGTATATGTGTAGTATATGACAGTATACTTCAACTTAAGAGTTTCATCGAACTCGTCGAGGACACCCGTCAATCAAAAGCGAGCCATGCAAACATAAGATCGCCTCAAAAAACAGCACCTATGACCTATGAAATGTGGTCTCCCCTAAAAACCAGGGGATTTTTTCTGGATTTTGATGTGATTCACCTTAAGTGGCTGGTGGGATTTTACTGAACTGTCGAAGGCTGGATTTTGGTGTCAGTCATGGCATGTCTACCCGGCAGATGAAGGCATACATCCTTTCAGTACAATTGGTGAAGCACAATTCATCATCAATGCTGTGTACAATGACTAAAGGACCCACACATCTCCAACATTTGGGAGTCAAACAGACAGAGGATCAATGGATCAAATTCCCTGCCAGAATTCATTGAACCAAAATGAACCATCCAAACAAGATTTGGGAGTCAAAATCAACATCATCAACAGAATCAACCCAGATGAGCCCAGATGACCCAGTAGCCAATGACCAGCGAAACTCGCTGCGCTGCGCCTGAGCTTCTTCCAGCTCTTGCGAGAGGTATGTGACCTGGCGCTGGATCCAATGAGTCCAGTGGATCCAGAGATGGGAGATACCCGTAATTTGGAGCGTCATGTTTTTTCTGTGCCACTTTACATATCGAAAATGACACAGAAAATAGTGATCTTTTTGGGGATGGGTTTATGATGGTTTACGATGGTTTATGGGCCATATGGGTAATTTTTGATGTTTTTTACTGTTTTCGAAGAAAGCCCTAGAATGGTGATAAGCGACATCTTTATCCAGAGATATCCAGAGAAGACAGAAGATCTCCAAGGAAAACTCGTAAATACTGCACCCAAACATGTGGATCATCTCGCGAGATGATCCAAGCCTCTGCGACTCATGTTTCCTCTCCAGCCCGCCTTCATCTCCAATTCAGCCCATTCAGATGCGCCCAAACCTGAATTGGAGCCTCAGCCGAAAGATGAAATCGAGGCCACCTGGTAACTTGTACCCAAAATCCCACAGAAAAGGATCCGCAAAAAATAAGCCAACTCGTTACCCACGACCTCGAAAACATCTGACAAAATATGACAAAAATACATAGTTCCCTTCAACTCTCTCTCTCTCTCTCTTACCAGCTTGATTGCTGCATTCTCATTTTCGATACGGTGGGTTTATACTTTCCACCAAGTTGTCTTGTGGGTCATCCCTGACCCTGACCAGCTTGCCCACAGTTACCGAAAAAATGGCGACCCGAAAAAAGAATCGGTGGCAAAAACGGACCGGCACCGTGAAACACGTAATGACCTTAGATTGCCTTCATATCTTTTAGCTGTCACCTCAATATATCCCCAAGAAAATTGCAAAAACACAACTCAACCAGTCGCTTCACAGACATATTCACCAATATTTCCCCAACGTTCAATACATACTTCACTTCTATTTCAATTCCCAATATTATGCATTTCATATCATTTCATTATTTTACATGATTTAACTTCAATCTATCCCCATTTCTTCATTTTTCTTCCTGGTTCTCCCCACCCTTTCCGGTTAGCGACTGACGTCCGCGTGCGACGTGACGCTGCGCTGTTGCGCCGACACCGTGGCGGTGCGCAGCAGTGAGGAAGCGACCGGCCTCTTCGGATCTTTTCGGATCCCCGGAGGCTGGGAACTTGGGAACTTCCTGGTGGAAAGTGCTGGGAATTCCATGGAATTCCTATTCAATTCATATTTAATTCATGATGGATAATGATGGTACAGATTTCTATAGATTGGAATGGTTCAGGAATGATGAATTCAATATAGATTCATATTGGATGTGGTGGATTCTATATTTCGATTTTTTTTGGTATATTGTTGATGATTGATGGTTTTCTTTCGATTGAATCACCATTCAAATATGAACAACGCCCCTTGATCCTGGATCTCTAGTAGGAATTGAATGTGATGTTGGCGAATTGTTTATTTAGTTGAATGGTACATTGCCGCTAATCACTTTAACCGAAAAAAATGTGAAAATCTAAACGATATGTGATATGCCAAAATGATGGATATTGGCATCGAAGGAGTAAGGATGTGCTGAAGAGCCAATGTGAAAAACCTATGACCTACATAGGGTAGTGTCATTGAAACTACCGATGTTGTTTTCTTCAGCCTTGATACACTGTATATCACTGAAAATAGCAGTGGACATGCTAAGCCACCAAGATCGTAATAAAATCGCCAAATCACAAGAAACAAGTTGGACACCAATCGGACACCAAGCACAAAAAAGGATTTAACTGAATTAACTGACAGTGGCTGGATTTGACCTCATTTGACCAACTCACCAACCGAAAACCAAGCAGCCCAGAAGGCAAGAATCGGCTTCCAAGACGTCATTGCAACCTATGATCTCCTAGTCTGAAAACACCAAAGTCTGGGGTCTTCCACCTTCCAAGTATGACCAGAGGCAGTTAAAATGTGTTGTTTTTTAACCAAGTTGTACAGCTCCCAACACAGGTCCACCCGAACCCTGCTGGTCTCTCGGTGCCTGTTTCGAATCCCTGCTGCTTGTTCCGCATAAGACAAAGCCGAAATGGTTTCCTCGACAGATGCCAAGGCCTCGGCTGCAGCTGGCAGCTGGCATCCAGTTGGGGGTCTCAAGATGGGAGCAACCCCAACCTTCCAGGGAAAGATCATGAAACATAGTTAAGTGATACTACAAACCAACCAAAAAAAAACACCAACAAATTTAGATAAATGGTGCAAAAGATGGAAAAACTAGGGAGATAAGAGTCCTGGGCTCGGCTGAGCAGTTTGTTCATTTCAGTCACATGCAAATTATGATTCTTGTAAGACAGGCTTATGCTATCCAGAATTACCAGAAGTATACCCAATGTTTGCTTACATCCCAGCTTCAATGCCAGTACCATTCACCAGCCAGTTACACCATTACATGAAACATAACATTCAGTTTTTTTTTAATAGTTATATGATGTTACATGAGTACATACACGACAATTACATCATAGAACTACCTTTTTCAACAGCATCAACCACCCCATTCTCCATTTCCGTCCCGGCGCTGGGTTCCGGGTTCCCCACCGGCGAGATGGTGGCGATGATCACGGTTTTGCAACGACCCCCCAGGGCGTCTTGCAACAGCCGCGTCCTCGGCAGATCAGCTGATCGCTGGCCGGTGGGTGGGTATACACTTGGGGTGATTTTATAAGCCCACTAGATAATCACTAGATAATCTAAGATGTATTTTTCTAAGGTGATTATCTGATCGATATATTTTTTTTTGCCCACTAGATAATCTAAGATGGGATAGAATTGATATGATCACGAGATTTGTGTGCCAGATACCCTCTTATTCAGTGAAACTGCAGCCCCTGGAGGGGCTCCAAAATAGCGATTCCTAAAGTCGTTTTTTTCCGCCGTGCGCATCATTGGCACCTTTCGCTCAGTCGCTGGACCAGACTGATGGAAGATCTGCGACAGCTGGGTTTCGAGCCACTTGAGGAAAGGTAGGTTATCATGGACGGCCACTACCAATCTCTGATTCATTCATAAACAGAACCACTGTCAATGTGGTCCATACTCCACATTCATCTTCCCAACTGCTTCGTCGCAGTTCCTCCAAAGATCCAAAGTTTTCCTGGCAGCTGAACGGGATTCTTTGCCCTTCGGACCACATTTCATCTGTCATCCCTGCAACTCACACCATCCGTTCTCAATCCCTTCATCTTTTTCCAACTTCGCATAGCTCTCCGCCAGCTTTCCACCTTGGAGTTGCCCGAGAGCTCAACAAAAACTTGGTCAAGTTCAAGTTCTCCCCAGATTCCCCAAATCAGAGATAAAAAAACCCACCGGAAGATCAAGAAAATCCTCACATATGTTTATCCATAGTGATATATTTCATGATTAACCCATGATTAAACCCGTGATAAACCCATATTTTTATATATTTTTCACCATAAACCATGGATTTTTCCTGGTCCCCCGGCAGTCTAGGCACCCAAGGTGTGGCCCCCCGGCAGCTGCCGCCACTGCGCCACGTAGTCCTTGGTGGCGCCGTGCTTCGGCGCCTGCAGCACCTCTGCGGCACCGCCCGACTCGCAGATGATGCCGTCGTGGAGAAAGGCCAAGTCATCGGCCATGACGTGGAGCTGGTGCAACCTGGGGATTACCCGTGGCCGTTGCTTTTCATGGGAATTCTGTGGTGGTTTTTTCCGGGTGATGAAAAATGGTGGTGAAAAATGGTGTTTCAATGGTGTTTCAATAGTGATACCCCAGATTTACTGGTGATTTAGTGGTGTTTCAATGGGATTTAATGGTGATACCTCATTTATGGCATATAAAAAATAGGGAAAATGACAAGGAACCTGTGGATGGAATGGGCTATCCTCACACAAAGCCCATGGCTGGTGCATTGGTTTGGTACCCTGGCTGGTTGGTTTATTTGTTGGGACTTCTACTAGCTCATTTATCGCGGATTATCATAACCCGTAGTAAACCTATGGGATGGTGGTTTTTTATTAATGGCTCATGGCTGGGGCATCAATTCCCAGGGAAATAAAAAGTGGTTCCCATTTGGTGATGATGTCATCGTTTGGGGAACTTCTTGGGACAATTCACTGGGATGAATGGGATGAAACATGGGACTACAACAAAAAAATCGACCAAAGACCAAATTCATCCGAATTTCTCCAAGTCACTCAGTGCTGATGTACAACATTCCCACGTTTCGTTCCACCAGTTGTTTCAGCATCCGCAGCACCCGCGGCTGTCGGATGGAATCCAGGCCGCCCAGCACCTCGTCGCAGGCCAGCAGCACAGCACAGCTCGACAGCTGGGTGAGGCACTTGGCGAAATACCTGGGGAATGGCTGGGATAGAATGGAATGATATGGAATAATATGGAACAATATGATAGAATACCTGGAATAATATGGAATCATCTGTATATGTTGATATAATGGACTGAGAATGATATTAGTGTAGAATAATAATATGGAATAGTAATATGTTTCTATCTGGAATAATAAATAAATAAATTTAAATAATATAGAAAAATATCATGGAATAGTATGGAATAATCTTCCACTACCTGGAATAATATGGAATCATGTGTATATATATATATATATATATACACTGTATGTATATGTTGATATAATGGACTGAGTATGTCATGATGAGTTGGAATGGCTGAGATGGCTGGTGAGAACGACTTTGTTCAACAAAGTCGAAGGGCTTAGAATCCGGAAAGTTGGGGGATGGAATGGTGCAAATGGGGAATGGCTGGTATACTTTGATAACTATCATGGAATATCCATGGACTGGGGATGAGTTGATCAAGTCACGAATGACCTGGATGGCTGGGATGGCTGGGATGGCTGGGAAGGGGTAAGAAGAACGAATGAAACAGAAATGGCTGGGCTTATCGGGAAAAACAACACAAAGCATGCAAGTGATAATAAACAACATTTTCTTGCCCTGGTATATTTGGACATAGGGAATTCATTGGACACTGGTCAAAAACCACCAACGTTTTCATCTTGAAACGTCCCTTGAAATCCTGCAACTCTGCCCGCCTCAGGATGTAGATCAGGTGTTGCTGACCACCAGAGAGTTTTCCAAAGCGTAGGCCATCGCGGATGTATTCCATAGGATTTCCAATGGGCTCTCCCGTCTCTTGGTTGTACATCTGGAAGCCACCCGCCTGTAGATCGGATAGATGGTTGATTGATTCATCATACTTCCCCTGGCCAAATCCATAATCCAACCATGCAAGGTGGTGCCCCCCAGTTATCTTTCTTGCTTTACAAACCAGTTGGTAACTATATGTATGTGTATATATATATATAATATATATATATATAATTATATAATTCCCATATACACATATCTACCACAAACCTAACAATTAACCATTACCCTCTGGTAAACATACAAAAAGCTATTGAAAATGGCCATTGAAATAGTGTGGAATTTCCCATTAATAGCATGGTGATTTTCCATAGTTTTTTGTATGTTTACCAGAGGGTAACCATGGTGAAAACCCCTATGGTTTCACCACTCCTGCAGCATCTTGATCACCTGCTTTTGCCGTTGCTCCAACGACATCCACTTGGGCAGCTCGTCGCCGATCACGGCCTCGATGCTGCGGCTGGCCTTCAAAACGTCCTGGGCCAGCCATGACGCGTTTAGTGGTACCAATGACCGTAAGAAAAACATGGGCATATATCATGGAAAATATTGTTATTTAATGGTATAATGGTATGGTTTAACCAGGAAAATATGGTATTAATCATAACTGGAAAATCGTAAATCATCTATAGATGGGCCATTTATAGGGCATTTATACCAATGAATAGGCCATACAATACCCATGATCTACTATAGATGAGCCACGTTCCGTGAAACTTATAGCCAGAGGGTGCAGTTGAGGTGGCTGCCAGCCTCTAAAAAGGACCATATCTCAGCAAACTTGGGTTCCCGGCAATGGCAATTGACAAATCCACCATCTACCCTCTGGTAAACTAACATTGCTATTGAAAATGGCCATTTATAGTGAGTTTTCCCATTAAAATGGTGATTTTCCATAGCTATGTAAACGTTTACCAGAGTGTATACTTCGTTGATTTTCCCAGCGAACGAAACCTCCCCTGAGGCCGGTTCCCCGCGCCGCGCCTTGTCGGAGGTTTCGCTGGACAGATGCAGCACCAGCACTTGCGGCTTGGAACCACCCGAAAACCGCCTCCAAAGAGCCAGCAGCAGCAGCAGCAGCGCCACAGTAACACCAACACCGACCATCGGCAAGTGACCTCTCTGGGTTTCAGGAGAAACCCAAAAACCAATGGAAAAAATCCAGAGAAAATCAATCACCACCTGAAAAACATGAAAAGAAATGCGTTTTCTGGTGGTGGTTGATTGCATCTGGAAAGGATTTTTTGACTGCAAACCCTTACGCAACATTATCAAAATATCATAATCAGTTGTGTCTCTTTATCGACAATGGCACTAAATTGAGAAGGGGAACCACTCCAGCGTGGATTCTCCTCTGGCTGCTTTGAATGTTCAGATGGGCTTTGCAAATGGTTTTGAAAAACATCCCACTGTTTGTTTATGAAGTGCACAATAACTTGCAGATTCATCAATACATGTTGAGTATGGCTGATTACTACATCAAAATCATGTGTTCATTTGCTGTTGCTGCAGCTGATTCTACCCAGTAGCCGGGTCGCTGTTCACCACAGCTTCAGCTCGCCACTTGGGAAAGCGCGGGATCATGACTGCCAGCAGGGCTACGAAGATCGCCACTGCACCTGGACGTTGGAAATTCACAGCTCGGTGGAAAGTGCAGATCCTTGAGTTTGGTGAGAGTGGAAGATGTGTTCTTGTTGGAAATGGCATGACATGAACCATGTAAGAACCTTCAAACTCCACACTAAACCCCAACTTAATGACATTTGCATGTGGGGAAAGCCCTCTCCTTCCCATCTCCCATCACACCTCCCAGTGCCATAGTCTTCATCCCACTTCGCGCTTCTACCGTGCTATCTCCCAGAAATCGAATGGTCCCAGCTTTCGGTCTCAGTTGACCCCGCAGCAGCCGCGCCAGCGTCGTCTTGCCCGAGGCGTTCAACCCCACCAGACCCATGCAGCGCCCTGCGCGGAGCTCCAGATCCACACCCTGCAGGACCGGGTCGTCGTAGTCGAAGCATAGGGACTCCGTGGAGACCAGGACCTCTTTCTCCTGGGGGAATCTTGACCATGGCCAAAGACTGTCCAAAAACATCCCCAAACATCTTGAAACATCTTGAAACTACGAAAAATCATGTTATGGCATTGATACATTCATATAGGGTGACTTATTTACAGCACAGAATGCCCAAAACTCACCAACCATTCATTAAACTGTAATTACCTAACAAATCAACATTCTTCATCCCATTCATCTCCATTACCTATGAATATATACAAAATATCAGAAACATTAAGTAACCTTCCCATCCATCCCATCCCATCCCTCAACTCCTTCCCCTTCATTTCCCTCAAGATCGGCTTGGGCTTCTCCGTGTCGTAGAGCGCCGGCCCCGCGAAGATCTTCCGAAAGCCCGCCGTTTGGCGCTGCGCCTGCCGCGTCGCTGTTCGCTCCTGGCGCAGCTGGTCGCGCAGCTGCTGCAGCAGCTGGCGGACCTCGGAGTTCGAAGGATCCAGCTGCAACGCCTTCTCCAAGTCCTCCTGGTGGAGTTTGTGGGCGAAAGCCGGTTGATAGGACGTGAATTTCTCCTCCAAAAAAGGGATCTGACTAGAAAAAAAAGGAGATCATCACTTTTTGGCAACCAGCATTGGAGTTTGACCCGCAAAGTGGGAATCAGAGGCTTTTGGATCCAAAAGCCAAATGTCCGAGAAAGTGATGTGGATTTGCAAGCTGAATTTGTTTGCATTGTATGAATGTCGGATGGGAATGATGGGAATGTTGCATGTATTCATGAGTAATTCATGGGAGAATTGACAACTGCAGAGGATCCATTGAAAGGTGATGGTCGAAGCCCAAGATGAACTGGATGTTTGCCAAAGCCCTGTTTCGATGCTGAAAGGTTGGTGCAGTCATGGTTAGGATTGAAACATCCAAAATCCCACATGTGTTCCCGGCACCAATTCCCCTCTCTTGTACCTTCGTTTTCTTCAACCTATGCTGAACAAATTTCCAACAACTCCCTCAACAAACCATTCAAACATCCAATGTTCACTCTTAAATGTCTTTATCAAAAGTAATTAAGGTATGTAACTCGTTCTTGATGTGTGCTCAACTATGGTTGCAACTAACTACCAGTTCACTAAAGTAACAAAGCACATCTAAGCATCATATCCAGCAAATAACATCCAACAAATGGATGGTTTAAACCATTTGGAATTGCTTCTGATCCCCATCATACCACATTATTATACTAGTAGCCTCATCTAACACCATATCATCCCATATATCCCACAGCCAAGTTCTTTCCTTGGTCGTCCCTTCGATTGAAATATTCCCCAATATTAATAAATTGGTTAGTATCATCCCCTGTACTAATCAACCAAGAGGGGTTTATCAGCCACTGCTCAATTATATAACATTATCCCGAACCTATAATTAATTAGGGATTTAGCAACCACTGCTCTATGAGCATTATATATCCCTAACCTATAATTCATCATATTTAGCAACCTGACAGGGTAAAGCGGGTAAACCCCGAACCTATGGGATTTACTAACCTATACTTGATCCCTGATACTAGGTAAAACACCTATAATATTCCAATATTAACCTATAATTGATCCCTAACTATCATCTTGGTAAACACCGTCCAAAAACGGCGACTTCGGAACCTGCGCCAGTTGCAGGTTCTGCTGCTCGTTCTGATGCTCCGCCAGGCGCCGCCTGGCCAGGCCGCGCCGGTACAAGGCCTTGACGGCACTCGACGACGCGGACGCGTCGGCCGCCAGGGCTCCGGAGGCATGGTCGATGGCGCTGCCCAGGTTCCTCCGACACAAAAAAACGGGTGAAACAACCTGGAAGATCTGGTAAAACCGAGCTGTGAAAAATCGAACGCAAGAGATTTTGGGAAAATCAGGGAAAAATCATAGTTGAAGCTATGAAAAAAACGCCGGGATTTCCATGAAAACTTGGAAAAAATGCAGTTCACCTATGAAACAATTGAAAAATATCTGGGCATTTAGCATGATTTAGCTGGGAAACTGGAAAATTGTTGATCTATCATGTGGGGAGGTGGAAAATGGGAATGGTTTTGAAAAAAAAACCTGCCGTGAACAAAAGATGGGTACGATTGGGCGGTATACAGTACGTCTCACTTTGGGGGTGATTCTCAAGTAAGCCACTTCTGCCCTCATGTCATCGAAGGATACATCCCTACCACCAAATCCTAAAGGGGGCATCAAATTGACTATTCCGCCCTGATTTGACCCGCCTTTTCTGAAAATCAACCCACTTCCATCAATTATTTAAGGTTATGTCTGAGAATAGTATATCCATGTATATCCCCCAAAACCCATCTGGGTTTCCATCAGTTCCCTTATCAATTTATATTATAATCAGTGTAAACCCACCATTTTCAAACAGCCTGGCAGCGTTGTGCCCAAGGCTCCCGCGTCTCAGATGTGCCAGGGATGCGTTCAGGTGCAACGCTGCTCGCAACTGGGGCACCTTCTCATCCTGCCCACCAGAAACCATGGTTTTTTGTAGGGGATTTCTATGGAATGGGGGTGTTTTTTCTATTTTTTTCTATTGTATAATATTAGGGGGATGGGATTATTCAAATCAACACAATATCGGAGTCAATATCAAACATCTGTTAAAAAAGTGTTCCTACATCATTGACCAAAAAAAAGATTTACCAAAAAAAAGAAGGTCGGCTGATGTCGGCGGTTTGTTCAACCAAAAACACTCACCCGACGCATGACTCATCCGGGATGGGAACCCCGCCTGGCACGGCAGCAGCGCCACCAGTCCCTGGTCGTACTGCTGCGCGGCGTCCGCGAAGTCGCCGCGCTGCAGCAGCTCGTTGCCTCGTTGGCGACACTCCTCCGCCGTCTCCATGGAGAAACATGGCACGGATGGAGATCTGAAGAACTTTTGGATGAGGAAATCTGAAAAGATCTATGATCTGTGCTTAGTTTGAAAGTGGAAGATGTTGAAAGTTGGATTGTGCATAGATGTGTAAATGAAAAGTTGAACTTCATTGATCGTTTCGAGTGTTGTCAGTGATATAGTTGGGAGTGTAGTTGGTGTCATCGTGGCTGCTGATTAGCCGTGGAGTTCTTGCAGCTTCTCCTGTGATCTTGGAGACTCTTCTGTCGCTCAGCTGAAAACGTTGGGCCCGCTTTTTGGCTGGCCCTTTGCAGTTGAAGAAACCTTTTTTGGGGTATTTTGAGGTATACCCAAGTTCCATCAAAAAAAACGACAACCAACAATGCTTTTCAAGGTTCAGCGAACTTTGTGGCTCTCTGTCTCTATGCCGGTTCTATCATCATTGTTCATGTCTGCTTGCTGAGGCTTCAATATTCTTCAAGCTGTTTGAGCAAACCCAAAGACGAGGCTGTGTGCACAAGCGAGAACCCAGGGAGTCAGAACACCCCCAAACACTTTATGGCACTTTCACGGCATAAATGTTCAGCATGATGACACCTTTGTATCTCGACATGAAATCCAAAAATGGCTGCGTCCAAACGTGCTGTAATATTCCAAGGACAAGTCGATCAATAAGTTGCTAAATCATTGCAGGTTACCTTCTCAAAATCAGCCGAACTGTCCAGATGAATTATTTCTTCTTGGCATGTTCATTTTTGTTACTGGATCGCCAGAGTAAATCCAATGCCATTTTGCGGCATTGCAGTATCATATACCAGTTTTCTTTGTCCATGCACCACAGGACTTCTGCAAGACTTTCGCAAAAGTTTCCGAATTTCTTGGAATGATATGCAATTTGAGTTACCATAATAGTTAATATAGATATATCATGATATATCAGGATATCCACAACTATGATAACCACAACTATGATAGATATAACAACCCAACAAACATTACCGGAACTCACGGCACACGGAACTCAGAGATTTCCAGGCGATCTTCCGTGGCTCCCGGCAATTTGGAGTCCCGGTATGGAACGCGACCAGAGCCCTGCCAGCGCCGCTCCGGAAGCATCCGATCCTGTGGTGCCCCACGTGAAATGTTTGTTGGGGTTGTTATATCTATACCATAGTTGTGGTTATCATGGTAGATAATGGTAGATATCTCTATATGAACTATTATGGTTATTGTGGTTTTCAACTATAGATATATATTATATATATATGATATATCTAACGTGATAACCATAGTTGAGCTATAGTGAACTAAAGCAACTTAGTTATCCTGGGGGCACCAAATTATATAGAGGGGATATCCTGTATCGATCACCAAAGTTATAATAGGGATGTGATATGTTGGTATATACTATAAACTTCTATAAACTTCTTCTCACTCCTAAAACCAGGCACTCGTGTTCCAAAACAGAAACCGAAAACCTATCGATAACAACGATGTCTCAAATTTTGGGACAGGTCTCTTTAGGGGTTGGGGGATGTCCACCAAAAGATTCCAACAGGGCCTTCAATGCGATTTTTTCGAAGCTTAATTGATGTATTGATTGCCATACAATAGGTAAAGTAATTCTTTAGGATCAATAAACAAAACGTGTTATTTCCAGAAAGAGGGAAACCAACGCCCTGGCTTTGAGGTTCTTGGTTGCTGTGACACTGTGGCTGATCAGGCGAGGTTTCCCATCGTTGACTTGCATCCCCTATATTTGCATCATTTGATGTGAAATCCTCCATGGAAATGATGGTTTTTGATGGTTACCCTCTGGTTATGACTAACATAGCCATGGTATAGATGGCCCTAATCGAAATAGATTATTTACCATTCTTAAAAATGGTGGATCATGGTGGATCTTTCCATGGGAAACTGTTAGTCATAACCAGATGGTACTGTAAATAATGTGTTAAATTGACCATCCTTATTTACCATCTGGTTATGGGAATGACTGTTAGTCAATTCATGGAATAACTGTTAGTCAATTCACATCACCTCTTTTTGAAGCTCAAAAAATCCATGAATTTCCCTGGCCTCCCATGGGCAAACTCGGCAAAGTCCCGCCTCCCGCAACGCAGTGATGACGCGGCCCAGGGTCAACAGGCTCTGGTTGATGGAGCGGCGCCTCGAGGGGATTTTTGGTCTATGGGAGGATGTCGCCAGAATGATGAGCTAATGACTAACATAGCTATGTTTAATGGGATTTTATAGTGATTCAATGGGATATTAATGGGATATAGCCTCTGGTTATGTCAACAGTTAGCTATTGAAGCCATGGCCATAGAAATAGTGGATTTTCCCATTAAAAAATGGTGGATCTTTCCATAGTTATGTAAACGTTTACCAGAGGGTAACTAGAAAGTCTTCAAACTTTCAGCCGGTGAGTTGCCACCATCATAGTGATCATTTGGGGTGTTTTTGGATGATGAGCGAATATCAATGTACAGCATATCGTGTTTGATAATTCTTTCAGTATATGAATATGCCAAATTTGTAGCTAACATTGATCAAGGGGAGAAGGATCCTATTGGGATCTGCCAAAAGGTGCTAAGTTTGAACCCAGGTTTACCCTCTGGTAATTTAACATAGCTATTGAAAATCACCATGTTTTAATGGGAAAATCCACTATAAATGGTGATTTTCCATAGTTATGTTAGTTTGCAAGAGGGTAATGTTGAAAATTCTTGGTTTCTGGTGCAAATCTCCAAGAGAATCCCGAAAAATCCCATAGTATGTCTTGATCTGGCGGCCTCATCCTGCCGCAACATCTCCATACCATACTTGAAAGAAGCCATGGTAAAATATGGAAAAATGAAGCCAATTACAATCAATTACAGTTGCTGATGTGTCCCACTTTTTTTCGGTACCCATAAAACATCATAAAACCCCCATGAAATCCTCAGAAACCAATGGTACGATGGTCCTCTTCTGACATGGGAGGTGGTGGAAACCACCATGTCCCCACCCGGCTGAGGAGCCAAACTCTCGTTCCTCTTCCTGCCCCGCCAACATCCGTGCTGCGGCAGATACATCCTCCAGAGGCGATCAACATGCGGGGGGATGTCGAACTGACGAGGATGACGAGGATTCCTAAAGTCTTCCACTGGGCCCACCTTTGTCCACTAAAACATATCTTGGGATCACATGAAATACCCATAAACATATCTGCCATTTTATCATATATCCCATCATTATCTCCCACTATGTCCCAGTGCATCCCATAGTATCTAGCTTTAATCTCTATACTATCTGATATCCCTGGGCCAAGCAGTTCCATTATCAGCACCATATACCGTTGCATCCCACAATATCATGCTTTTATCAGGTTTAACCCCCCATCACTCTCTGATATCCATTGATATCCCAGTAGTATCCCATTAACATCGCATTAAATATACCATGATTCCACTAATACCACTAATGATACAATGATATCCCACTAATACAATATCCCAGTAGTATCCCATTAACATCGCATTAAACACCAATATCCCAATGATATCCATTGATAATCCCACTAATGTCCCAAATTCCATGGATTTTTCTCCGTGACGTCGACCCACCCGCTGCGGCCAATGTCCTCGGAATAGATCAAGCCGCCCTTCTTGGCACATTCACTGCCCGCCAGGTCGACCAAATGCAACTTGCCCTCGGAACGGAGAGCCACCAATGGTGACTTGGTGAGTAGATCAAGCATAAAAATGTTGGGGATACGGTTACGGATATGCTGAAAGTGCTACATATTGATGTTGGATATAATTGAATGACCATTGCTGAATTTTGGCAGATTTTCAGCCGGAAGACACCTACTCTTCAATGAAATGCATAATCTGTCTGAGTACTTACTGAGCACATACCAGTAAAGCAAGCCTGCACAGGTTTGCAAAGGATTAATTTAGCAAGATTTTATTCTAATAGGATTTTGCCGTTCTATCTTTTTTGAGGTTGTTATGTAGCGCATTGCGCCATTTCTCCCATGTCATGGATGATATGTTTGATATGTTTCTGAGTACATGCACATCATCATAGCATAGTACAGAATAGCCTATTGGGGTTTTCACAAAACGCTGGACCCTCCAAAAAACCTGGCTTTCCTTTCCATCATAGGCCAAGTTGGTCGAGAGTTGCGGCCTCCCATTGTTGTCTTATAGTGAAAATCATAGCAACCCCTCAAATTGGAGCAATGTTGTAACGTTTCAAATGGCTATTCATACCATTGACCCAATGATATACCAATGGCACAAAAACTATATACCAACATAACATATTATATATATATATTATATATATATATATATATTATATATTATATATATATTATATATATATTATATATTATATATATATATTATATATATATATTATAGCATAATATAGCCATATACAGCCATGTTTATGCAGCAACGGTGCACCGTTTCCTCGCCAACAAGGCACCTGATTCTCCAGCTCGCCCCCAGCCACGGCGCGCTGGCACTTCACCTGCCGGTGAATCAAAATAAGGACCCGCAGAAAATCCATTGGTATATCATTGGTTATACCATGTTATGCACTGACAAAGAGAAAATACCTCAATGATATACTTATACCAATGGCTTGAGGTTGATATAGGTTGATATTTATGAGATGTTTCTCTTTGCCAGTTCAAACATTGAGGCTTTCGAAGCGCTTTCGGCTCGCCCAGCGAGTTCATCACGTTCATCATCCCAGGGGAGTTCTCGGCCCAGCCTTCATGGTAAAGATGCTATGGGATCGGCTACTGCGAGCATTCACGCGCGTCTCCGCCACTCGGCGCTTCTCCTGCGGAGTCGAAGATCAAAAAAATCAGCAGAGGAATCGATCAAAATTTAGGGACATGGAAACAATACCTCAGTATGTTTCACTTGAAGTATGAAACAGTATGACACAGTGTTATCTTTTGTAGAATCAAGTGAAATCAAGTGAAATCAGGTGAGGCTCACCTATAATTCAACAATTTGGTTGTCACTTAAAAGTTGATTTCGGACTTGATTTGAACCCTGGTAGCTCGTAGGTTTGCGGGTATGAAGACTTCATGGGATTCCGTAGGGTCCTTGATTGACGCATGTTCATCGCTGCGATCAAAAAATCAGCCACAAAGCGTATTTGGCCATGGTAAGATTCAACTGCTCCAACGAAACTCAGATTGGTCTTATCCCCAATTGATCTCCCTTTCACTTCTGGATACCCATCCAAAAAATTAGGGTGGTTCATTCACCACAAACCCAGTTTGAAGCCCGGTTCATTTTTGGCCCACCACTGTGGTTACCCTCTGGTAAATTATCATAGCTATGGAAAATCATGGAAAATCACCATTTTTAATGGGAAAATCCACTATAAATGGCCATTTTCCATAGCAAACTGTATGTTTACCAGAGGGTATCTGTGGTTCACCCCACCGCGCCTGTGCGCGGCGCACCACTTCCAAGATGTCTTCCATGGAATGGACCTCGACCTCCGAAAGGCCCTGGCAACAAACTCCTCGACCGCCGCCCACGTCCTGGTCGTGTGAAAGGTCCGAGGGCAAAGATTCATTGACACACAACGAGTCATTTGTTTGGACCCCCAAAAAGATATGTGTCATAAAATGATTCCATTTCTTTCAGATTTCGATGCGTTACAATGCATAATGAACTAGTGTTTCATAATGTTCATGGGATTCACCTCGGCATGTCACATCTCCGATTTCGTTGTTGCCATGTTCCATGTCACCAGTCTCCCATCTCCGGTTGCCTTGAGATCCAATTTCTGGTGTCGATCGGAGCAGGCGAGCAAATCACTCAACTCCTCGGGGAAAACCCATGGGTTCCAGCTTGCCTTCAACCGATACCCAGTCCACGGTTGAAAAATATGAAAGGCACTGGAGGGACCAGAGACAGCCAGTCCAAAAAACAAAAGTCTATGGATGATTTCAATGTCGAATCCATTGTGATGTTGCCTCTTTTTCTCAACGAGTCCTCAAAAGTTCAAACAGATTGGCTGATTTTGCCCTTGAATTCCATGAACTCACACATCCGACCAAGACAGACTCAAGCCATGTCTGTGAAAGGGAAAAAAAAACGATCCAAATGGTGGATGATGGCCTTTTGATTAGAACAATCCATGAACCTCAGAACCCCTTTATCATCTACTGTATAGATCTGTATAGCCAGCATCCGAAAAAGCCATGGTCTGGCTGTGGTCCAACCCCTCTGGCCATGGCTTCCAGCTGCAAAAGTTGGGTCCTCATTGTAGATCTCCAGGTAGGAAACGGTCACGGAACTCTCCGTAAACTCCGAGGTGGCCTCAACTCTGCTATGGTGGCATCGATGGTGTCATGGATGAGGATTGATCGAAAAATGCCAACGAAAAAAGTGGGGGAGCCTTGTCGTTTCGGTTCAGCGAAGCATCTTGTTTCGGTTGATGACTTGACCCCAAAACCTTCGACTGAAGCCATGCACCGATTTTATGGCATTTCCGAACTGTTGCGGGTATGATTAAACCCACTATAGATACCCTCATCGGAAAGTTCCCGGGAACGACATCTCCGACATCTCCTGGTCAAATCCCCCTAATTTGTGTCGTGAATTCCTCCATAAAGCCCCATGTTTCTCAGTTGAACCTTACATGAATTAGTTGAAATTTAAAGGTTTGCTATAGATTAACAGTTTGTCACCCAGGTTTGATGTAGAACGTCTCCATACTTGTTACTGAAAGCCCCATATACTACCAGTACGTCAACCCCGCTTTTTGATGCGTGCCAAGATGTTCTATGTTTTTCCATAAACTCCGCATGAATTATCCAATATTTCTCCAATATCATGGAACTCATATCCAATATTCTACACCAAAATTTATGTCTAATATCCATGATATTGAACTGATATTGGATCATTATCCAATTTTTATCCCATAAATTGTCTGGAAAAAGGCCTCCGTTGAGTCTCCACACCAAGGCTTCCAACACTGCGCTCGCAGTGCGCGGCACCAAGCCACGGCCTCGCCGTAAATGTTTGTGCGGCAAACGTTGGCAGAAACATATCAAACTTTTAAAAAAAGAAAACAGATCAAAGAAACATGATTCTGATATAAGTGATGTGTGGTTGCTTTACATGTATGTGTATGTATGTATATATATATATATGGTGCAGCGTTGGCCACCCCCCCTCCCCCCCCCCACCAATGGGTATGGATGGTATCGGGTTCTTCTGGTCCCCCCCCCCCCTGTGGCCTGTGGTGGTGGTATGGTTCTTCTGGTCCCCCCCCCCCTGTGGCCTGTGGTGGTGGTATGTTGGTATGTTGGTATGTTGGTATGTTGGTATGTTGCTATGTATGCTGGTATGTATGTATGTATGTAATGTAATGTAATGTAATGTAGTGTAGTGTAATGTAATGTATGTATGTATGTGCATGTATGTATGTATGTATGTATGGAATGTAAGGTAAGGTAATGTAAGGTAAGGTAAGGTAAGGTAATGTAAGGTAAGGTAATGTAATGGTATGTATGTATGTATGTATGTACGTAGGTAGGTAGGTATGTATGTATGTATATACACCACCACAGGGGCATCATACCCCCCCCCATCCCATGGGGGGGGGGGGTGTGGGAGTGTGGGAACACGGGACACGGGACCATAATATATATCATCTTTTCTGATATGTTACATATGTTCAAACATTGAAATAATCCAAAAAATCAGTGGCTTCCAAACGTTCGAACATTCCTTGGACCTGCCTTCCACGGAATCGAGCTGTCCCTCCATCCTGGCCATGGGGAAGTCATGATGTTTACCAACAAAAATAGAGGAAATTCACATCAACGCAAAGGAGTAGATTCGTCACAGAAAAGAACACCTGTTATATATATAATATATATATAATATATATATAGTGGTATTCTTGTGTTTGGTAATATGACAACCAAAAAAGAATTGGATTAAATTGGGGTGATATATATATATACATGAACAATCCTGAATATATCACTTGTCTCAAAAAAATATAGAGACCAATATTCACCTCAAACAGAAAGTCTGTCAATGCAGTTGTTCTCGTTTGTGGTTGAGCGCCCTCTTCCAAAAATATGGAAAATTGTGTTGGCATCATCATCATCATCCTCATCCTCAAAAGACGGAAGCGCTCACTCGTAGCAAAACAGGCCAAGAGTACGTGTACCTCGGTTCAAACTTCATCCATATGAAACTTCAAACTTCGCAGGTCAAAGAAAGTCCATCACATTTCAACAGAAACTGAACTGTTCAACTGAACTACCCTCTGGTAAACTAACATAACTATGGAAGGTCACAATATTTTATGGCTAAATCAACCACAAATGGCCATTTTCAATAGGTTTACCAGAGGGTATGAAACCAACAATTGGCCACTTCCAAACTCTTCCAAACTCGCCACGAGTTCCAGGACTGAGTTCGGATCGTCTTTCCAGTGCCCGTCTGACCATAGGCAAAAGCCGTGGTTTCGTAGCCAGCTAGCACCTGGCTGACAGGAAGGGCTATCAAGCAAGGGAAGGGGGTTCCAGTTGCGATAGGTTTCTGTTTGTAATTTCACTATAGTTTAAGTGGTGTTTATTTTTGGTATATCTACAGTTGGATATGTTTATAGACCAACTGTCTTGCCTCCCATTTCACCCTCAAAGATTGGCTTTTACATGCCAATTCCTTACCGTATGTAAGATCACATGTTGTGATTCTTCACCCTACATTTTTTCTTACAAACACGAATCTATTCACTTTTGAACCCCTCCAGGATCAGTTTTTATACCTACCATTTCTCCCCAGAGCTCTTCACCCCCCCCTATTCTCCCCCCATCCCTCCAAGGCTCCCCACCTGTCCCACCAGCGGCTGCAGCGTGGCGCGAAAGACGTCCTCCTGGCTGCTGAAGGACGTCAGGACGTCGTCGAAGTGAAAGGTGGACCGCACCTGGCGGGTGCCACCCGCCAGGATGCGAACCTCCGGCGAGGCCACGTCGGATGGGGGAAGATGGGGGAAGATGACGGGTTAAAAGAGAGCAGCTATAGACCATATGTCTAGAAATTTATAGAATTTATATCATGAATGATCCTATATCATCCTATATCATCATATATCATCATATATATCATCATATATATCATCTATAGATTCTATCAAATTCTCCCCATCTGCCGTTCCGAGAGTTGATCACCTGGGCACCCGCACCACGGCAACTTCTTTTCGCTCCGTGGATGCGGTGGCGGCGGGTGTGGCACCAGCCTAGCGACGACGATTTTACCCAGCACTGGGCAGAAATGGATAGATTTTACCAAGCGAAATGGTGGTTTTACATGGTTTTACCACAAACAAAAACATTGGGTCTTTGTACCAATCAACATGATTCAACATGCGGACTAAAGCATCAAATTGACAGATTCTACCAAACTACTTGGGGATGTTTCCAAACATTCCAAACAACATGCGGATTTATTAAGCAAACAATGAGGTTTTACTAGCCAAAATTGGGATTGAATGCTTGAACAAAAAAATAAGGATTTGAACCAAAAGCACGTTGGTTTCAACCCGTGATATACGAGATGTGAACCAAGAAAAAAAATAAGAACTGAACACAACTGAGGAGCGATGTAAAAAAAAAAAAACTGCGTTGATGAACACGGGCGTGTTCAGTAGCCAGCAAAATGGCTGTCTCTCAAGGAATCATTTGTTCGCCCCAAGGATCTGACCGAAACTAAAGAACTACCCTCCAGTAAACTAACATAACTATGGGAATTCACCATTATATAATTCCATGGCTGTGTTAAATTACCAGAGGGTAAGGGAAAATCAACCAACAAAATCATGGAAAAGGGAAGGCTATAGCTGTTCTGTCCAAGGTGTAGAAGAGAACAATCTTGGGACATCTTGGGACACTACTATATCATATATCTATAAAGATAACAATCTTGGGACACTGTATATATATATCATACTATATCTATAGTTGACTTGTCACGGTTGTCTCAATATGACAGGATATGACACGTTTTCAAAAAAAAAAACATGGCAACACAGCCATCCAAAACCCAGGAAACTCACGACTTCGACCTTCTTCTCCTTGTCATTCATGGGACGAATGCGGCACACTACACGGACGTTGGCCGTGGGAATCTGCGGCTTGGAAAAGGGATGGCGGTGGGGGAGCGAAGGGATGGCATGCTGGGATTTCCTGTAGAAGTGTGGCAGGGCCATAGTGCCATAGTGTCATTCACAGGGTCAACTCTTTTTTTGTAGATGAGTTAGGACACCAAAGGATAAACAGTTGCATCAAAAGTCATGAATCTTACCATGAATATAAATGATGAAATATGATGAATAATATATGATCGATCGTATACATCCATCATCTATGTTCCATCATGTGTCAACTGTTTGGCATCCAACCATCTTAAGTTTGCACTGGCATTTGCCACTGATGGATGAGATGACCTGTCTGTCAAGATTGATACCAGTAGCTTCCTGGCATTTGTCAAATCAAAAGAAGTCAGAGTGTGCCCCGGGGGGGTTCGAACTGTTCGATTCGAGTTCGAACTGCCATCCTAGGTGTGCCTCGAGGGGAGGGGGGTTCGAGTTGAGTTCGAGGGTTCGAGTTAACCCCGGGGGGGTTTTCGAACTGTTCGACACCAGTTTTGAACTGGCATCGTACGTCTGCTTTCCGGAGGGGATGGGGGGGGGGGAAGTTCGGAGTTCGAGTTCGAGTTCGAGGTCGGGAAGATTTTTTTTTTTGGCAGGGGGGGGGGTGGGTTGAGTTCGAGTTCGAGGGTTCGAACTGTCATCGTTCGAGGGGAGGGGGGGGGAGGAGTTCGAGTTCGAGTTCGAGGTCGGGAGATTTGCTTTTCGTTGGGCGGGGGGGGGAGTTTCGAGTTCGAGTTTCGAGGGTTCGAATTGTTATTGTTCCAGGGGAGGGGGGGGGGTTCGAGTTCGAGTTTCGAGGTCGGGGGGGAGGAGTTCGAGTTCGATTTCGAGTTCGAGTTCGAGGTCGGGAGATTTTTTCTTTCGTTGGGCGGGGGGGGGGGGGGGGGGGGGGGGAGTTCGAGTTCGAGTCGAGGGTTCGAATTGTTATTCTTCCAGGGAGGGGGGGAGTTCGAGTTCGAGTTCGAGGGTTCGAACTGTCATCGTTCGAGGGGAGGGGGGGGGAGGAGTTCGAGTTCGAGTTCGAGTTCTAGGTCGGGTTTTTTTTTTTTGTGGCTGGGGGGGGGGTGGAGTTCGAGTTCGAGTTCGAGGGTTCGAACTATCAATGTTGTCCGTACTATGACTCTTCCAAGTCGTCGAACTCCCGCTCTGGCGAAAAACTGCGTGTGACACTGATGGCTGCACATGTTCAATCTACGCTTGGTGTGGTCATCGCATACCCTTCTGGAAGGAAGGCCAAGTCAGGGTGGGGGTTTTCATGCGTAGGCAGACGTGTCGCTGAGAAGCCATGTTGGTAATACAAGTACTCGGACCAAATGTTGGCCTGAGAACACGACATGGGTATGTTGGCTTGAGAGCACAAACATTCTCGATTTGTCGGGGCTAAGTTTGCCGAAGGTCATTGATTTCCTGGGGGTTGATGGCTTGACATGGTGTGCAGCCAGTTGCCGTCTAAATTTGGTCATTGTCTCGTAAAACAAGCAGCATCCAACCATACAGCTTGGATGTTTTTTTTTCGTTCCGCTCGGAGCGATGATATGCAAACTATACGAAGCGTCGTTGCTTGGCGAAATGAAACTTAGTTGCCTTAGATTGGACATGATTTCAAGATCCCTCAGTACTTTAACGTGGGGTGTGGGCCTAGAAAAAAATCGGTCTAAAATGATGACCCCTAACCTTTGAGAGAGGTTTTGAAGCTTTAAATTCCTGGCCCCTAACCTCTGAAGCCGAACTCTCACTTCCAACCACCTTTTTGAATTTGTTTTGCTAATTTCCTGGTGCCCAACGTCCAACATCCAATAAATTTACCCCTCTGATAGCCAAGTAAGAAAATTATTTCCTGGATGCTTGCGTTGGTATATAACATGCCATATCTCCCCCCCTCAATCTGATACGGAAAAAAATTACTTCCTGGCACCTGACTTCCCGGCTGACAGCTCGCAGTCTTTCAGAGCTTGACCGTGAATGCATACTCGGAAAGGTTTTTTTTTTTCTCTCCGGGGGGGGGGTCGAGTTCGAGTTCGAGTTCGACGCGGCCGCCGCCAGGTCAAAATCGAGTTCGAACTGCTCTGGGGCGAGTTCGAAGGCGAGTTCGAACTGTGTCACCGCCAGTTCGAACTGGAGTTCGAGCATGTGGACCGCGAGTCCGGACTCAGAAAGCTTGTTTTTTTTTTCCCGGGGGAGGGGTGTGCGAGTTCGAGTTCGAGTTCGAGTTCGACGCGGACGCCGCCAGGTCAAAATCGAGTTCGAACTGCTCTGGGGCGAGTTCGAACGCGAGTTCGAACTGTGTCACCGCCAGTTCGAACTCGAGTTCGAGCATGTGGACCGCGAGTCCGGAGTCAGAAAGCTTTGTTTTTTTTTCCGAACTCTCACTTCCAACCACCTTTTTGAATTTGTTTTGCTAATTTCCTGGTGCCCTAACATCCAATAAATTTACCCCTCTGATAGCCAAGTAAGAAAATTATTTCCTGGATGCTTGCGTTGGTAACATGCCATATCTCCCCCCCTCAATCTGATACGGACAAAAAATTAATTCCTGGCACCTGACTTCCCGGCTGACAGCTCGCAGTCTTTCAGAGCTTGACCGTGAATGCATACTCGGAAATGTTTTTTTTTTTTCCCTCCGGGGGGGGGGCGAGTTCGAGTTCGAGTTCGACGCGGCCGCCGCCAGGTCAAAATCGAGTTCGAACTGCTCTGGGGCGAGTTCGAAGGCGAGTTCGAACTGTGTCACCGCCAGTTCGGACTGGAGTTCGAGCATGTGGACCGCGAGTCCGGACTCAGAAAGCTTGTTTTTTTTTTCCCCGGGGGGGGGGGCGCGAGTTCGAGTTCGAGTTC